AATCCGATTTCGAAATTCTGTCTCTGGCGTTTCGAAAATCTACAGATGGATCGTTTTTAATACCAGAATAAATGGAAAAATTAAACATATTGTAATTGAAATATTATAAATACCCTATCTAAGAAAGCACTTTTCCGTAACATTTTGAAAGGATAGTTTCATCATTAAGAGCGTTGGTAAAACAAGTTTACAAGACAATTTCACTTCCTTTCAAGCTTACGACTATTCGCAACATTGACCAGTGACCAGTGAAATAAATCAAATTAGCCCAAAGCTTCTTTATGACATAAGTTATATTTAATTCCACTTCAACAAGTTACCTAATTTTGATTTAGAAATTTAGCTAAAATAAGCAAACGTACATATATGAAATTTGAATAGAAGTTAAAAAGCACAGTTTTCTTTTCTCACCACCTATTTTATACATTGAATATGGATGAATATGGAAAATATAGATAGATTGATGATATGCCTGAAAGCGCCTTGTCTGTCCAATCAACCACTCCTCCTCTATTTTTCCCCTTTCGACAGCATTCATCATAAGCTGTTATACTTGTTTCCTAACAGCTCATTCCTTACCAACTTTTGCTTACTTTTATCTTACACAAGATTAAACGAAAATATGCCATCCTTAAGCTCTCAGCAGCTAACCTAACTGGATAAAAGATAACATTAAGTATACTGCTTCTCTTACAAAAATTTATTTCAATTCAAATATAATAAAATCAAAATCCCTCTTCATATAATGTCTTTGCATTGTTTATATGTCCGTGTGCTTGTTTATTTCCTCTATAAAAGCGAAAAATTAAACTTGCATGCAAACAATTGAAAAAGGAACAAGAAATAAAGAAATCGATAAATCTAAGTCGTTGATTTTGCTTACTTATGTAAAATGCCAATATGCTCATTTATGGTGTCATGAAACCTTTTAATTTAATAAGGAAAAACTTCACTTATCAACAAAAATTACTGATTTCGAGATGAATTGAAAAATTTTTTTTATATTCTTTTACTAACAGTAACAGATTCTGTTCACTATATATTAAATATGAAAGCACTATATAAATAACAGTAAAATATGACAGTATAATATCGATCATTCATTAGGTAGACAATTAAATTTTAATTCTTTTCATTCTATTATTATAGAATATTTGTTTCAGTTGTTTTTATATGAATTTCCAAATAACTGAAAAAAGAAGCAACTATAACGAGCGTTAAATGATTCACAAACGGTGGTTATAAGAAGAAATTATATGGGAAGTTGTTCCTTATTAATATGTTAACAGAAGAAAAAGAGGACAATATCATCGAATTATTATGCAGTAACTTTTCAATTTCACTTCATTAATCTTAAATAAAATAAAAATAAGTGAAATAAAAGTCGAAGAGATTTACTTTGGGAGAGAAAAAAAGGATTTGATGATAAGAGCGTAATTAATTTGGTAGCTTAAATAGATAAATGATAACAAAGTTGATATTGAACTATTAAGAGAATGAAATATCTTTCATTTTTCAGGAAAAATTTCACGTTGTTTAATAAACTGCAACTATTTTAGTTATCGTTCTCTCTAGGAAGTGCAATACAAACGAGAAACGCTTATTTCAAAAAGCAATTAACAAAAAAAGCTCACTGCCCTTTATCAACAACAACCTATTCTGTTGTGTAAATGTAGAAAAATCTTCTGCAGTTCAGTTCTCGTTTTATTTAAAATTATTGTCATGAAGAAAGGGACAAAAGCAACAAATAAAAATATTTGTACTTCACTTCATAGCATTAACAAGAAAGATAATCAGTTTGATGCCAATTCAAATGAGCCAACAGAATGTAATATTGACAGAAATGTAAAAAAATTTCTACAATGTCAAACTATGCGACTTCAATTTCTCATTATGATGAAATTGGCCGATGAACGGAGGAAGCATAACATTTCGTGTAAGTGGAAAACTGTTTCAACTTCATTTTTTAATCTCGAAATGGCAATACTGGTTTTGATAATAAATATAAATATAAGGATAAGTGGAGTGTCTCTGCAATTAGCATAAATATAATAATGAGGAAAAATGAAGTGTCCTGTCAAAAACAAAACACAGATAGCTGTTATACGGAATTAGCAAAATTGATGAGCATCCGATGAAAACTGAAATCTCTTTTCGTGCTTCTAGATCAACTATGATTTTCTATTTTTGCAATAAAATCAAAGAAGTTTACAAATAAAATAATGGAGTTGGAAATAATAACATTACTGTGCCGAAAAAAAAATTTAATCAAAATTAAAACTAACCATAACCTTTCCTGATCACCACAAATGTAATAGAACTGATCTTGACTTCTTGAAATGCCCGTAAAAACGGGAGCGGATGTTAGATCGATTTGCCACTAATGAGCTGTGCCGCTTTTTGAATTCTTTTTTTTGAAATTCTAAGAAGAAAAAAGTTGCAAAATTTACTGCAATAACAACAACAATTAACGACAAGTAATTAATGATTTGCGATATGCCCACAGCAGGCAGTTTTCACAAATCAACAACGAGAAAGTTTTGCGTAAGATTCTTATGACTGGAGATCACTAACAAACAATCAGTTAAACAACCAGATGATCACAGCGGGAACCAATTAATAAAAACTGTCTGAACAATACAGAGCCGTCATTCTAAATATTCAAAGAAAATAGATTTAATTTTGAATTTCCAAGTTTGCAAACTCTCTTATGCAGTTGTACAACATCTTATAGTCGATAACTATCCGATGAAATATCTCCAATATGTATTCCTAAAAAGTGATACTTCCATCAACGAGCAATTTCCCGGGAATGTCATATGGCTAGCCCGATGGTTAAAGGAGCGAGATGAGTACATTAAATAACACAATCTTCCAGGGAAATTGCGTTACGATTGAAGTATCAGTTTCCATTTCCAGGCAACATAAAAGTTGAGGACACACATGCACACTGGCAGACAGACGGGCTGACGCACATATGTATATATATATACCGTTTATTAATCAAAACAACATGGGGAAAAGCAAATTTTCAAATTCAAAAAATAGTATAGAACTGGTAGCATTGTCAAGTTCTCTGCCTCGCAAGCTGCCAATAAAAAACAGTGCGGGAATACCGGAACGAAGACGGGGACGGGGACTAATGTGTCCTTAACTACCCGATACACCCTCACATGAAGCTTATTTATCAGTTCCCATGGGTAAGTCGATGGATGGGTAAGTGGTTGGCTGGGTAGATGGATGAGAGGGCGGGCGGAGAAATATCAAAACACGGCTTCAACTTGCATCACAATTTCGCTGAAAAAATACGCATACACACACATACATACAGACACACGCAGACAGACATACACACATATACACACACAACCATACATATATGTGATTACGTCGGGGTGGCAGGAGAGAAATAGTAAACATGGTGGGTTAAGGAAGGATCAATAACAATGCATCCTCCATCCAGATGTTACTGTTTACAAGGCTCATAAGGCTATCAGTGATAACAATGCAAACTTCTTTGTTTTTTGATGTTTTTAGATTTAAACTAATTAAAAGAAATTAATTCAAATTTGAACTGATCATCCTTTTCGTCCCCTCATCTCCAATTATCATTGGAAATTGCAGATAGGATTGAAGTACATCAAATACATTTGATATGTGTTTCACGTGAGAAGTTTAAATCACTGGCAGAAATGTAAAAATCATTCTGACTGCAGATTTACTGTTATCTTAAGTAGGTAGTGGACAGGAATACTTCCAAGCAGAGCATTGAAATATTTCTTAAACTAATATCCTTGTTTAGACTCTTTCGTATATTTCAGAAAACATCACGATCGATATCATTCATCATTGATGACATCATTGTAATAAACTGTTAAAATTAGTGGATTTGAAAGGACAAATGATTCATCAGCGATTTTACAGAGACTATTCTGTTTTGGTATAAATTGATGAGCTGAAAAAATAAGCATCAGAACCCATCCAGAATCTGCATGGCTACAGACGAACAGATATTGATGATTGATCAGAGACGAAATGTTGTCAAACGACAGGATGCAATAAAATATGCACGCCAGTATCCATAACATAATTAATATGCAAAATGGGAAGTAAATGGAAATTGGTGTTAGAATTCTGATAGCTTTGCAGGATGTCTTCTGAAGTAATGCTTTCTCGTCTCTTCCTCTCACTTGTTAGTCCTTGTCGTCTGCAAACTCACTCCTCAGCTCTTTGATTCCCTGGATTTAAATGAATATTGATGGAAATGTTGACATTCAAACGTTCTAAACAACATCATTCATTCACTTATCCCAGTTTAAAATCTTCCGCAATCCTTTTCAAGTAGTGGAATTGTCCGACAAAAAAAATTTATGCCGAGTTAGGAGAAAATTTTATGTACAATGATATTTAAATAAATTGTGCATTAAATACTGAATTAGGATATGTATATAAACATCACAAATAACGTTGTAAATTTCTGACAATGAAAGCTTACAGATGCAGTACTTGGCTCAGCTTTAGGTGATTTGCAACTATTGCTCTAAGTTTACCCTTTATTGGATCTTGCCCCACTTCACGTCTTCACTTTTCTAGCATATTGGTCCTTAGACAAAGAAAATAAAAATATTCTCCATCAAAATTGTGTAATATTTTCAATTCAAATAGAGAGAGAGTCAGATTAATAAGATGAGACATCGAAAATATATTTTGAATTTAAATAACAATTATCGCTTGTTCACATAAAGATAATATTTTACACTTGCTTCTTCTGCACAGATATATAGACTTATCTGAAGAAAAAATGAGTGGACGTTGAATATAATTCAATTCAGAATTCCCTTTTTTTCACTTGCACAAGATAGTGACTTCAAAACAAGCAATGAAACAAAGCAAAAATTTTAAGTGAAGTCGACGAACATTAAACGGTCATATAGAAAAACTATTTTAAATCATCACCAAATAGCAACAGCCCAAAGAAATGAAAAAATGCAAACATTCCTTCATGTTAAATTGAGCAATTCAGTTATTTCCTCTTCCCACTGTTCATCTGTTTTATCTATTTGACCGCTTACAAGTTCATAATCATTTAAAGAATTTATCAAATCTCGTTCCATGTCTTCTCCAATCTCTGAAGCAAAATTAATTTTGAAAGGCAATGTGAAAAAAAAACGTATTAGACATGAATAATTCAAAATGCGAGTATGATAATTGATTAGAGTGACTGAAAAACTAAGGTATACAAGCTTAGAATAAGTTGAAAACACACAGTTGCGTACTAGCAGGGTAGCGAAAACCATAAAGGCTATTGTTTGGACTGGGAATGTAAATCTCTATTCGGAATTAGTTTCCGTAGAAGTAGATAAAAAATTAAAACTAAAAAATTGGTAGAACGAACTTTCTCGTGTAGCACTGATAATATTTTTACGGATTTCATTTAGCTCTCTATTCTCCGCTTGCTCGTCTTCATTCTCAGCTTCATTCTGCTCTTCCATACCAATTTTTGAAATTTCATCTCCTTTGTTTATTTTCACTTTTTCCTCTTGTGCTTCTTCTTTATCCTCGAAATTAGACAATTTCACACTTTCCTTCCGCTCGACGGCTTTTGAAGAAATGGTAACTTCTGTGGCACGCAAATAATTTTCTTCTAGAGCTGCCTGCCTTACTAGTGAAACACGATAAAAGTAATTTCTCCAGAAACGTTCTTCGGTCAGTCTATAAAAAGATTTATGACATAAATTAAAAAAATTTCTCAGAGCCATCACTTGACTTCTATTGGCTCTACATTTTTAGTGACGGTTATTTTGGCAAATGCTTTATATCCATCAATGTAGATAAAACAGACGAAACTTTCAAATTTTTTGAAATGCGTACCACAATATTTTGAAGTGCGAAACAGGCTTAACAAAACTAACACCAAACAATAGTCTTAATCATTGACTTTCTGTGGTTGAAAATAAATAGGATCAATTAGATGAAATGATACAAAGAATACTTTTTCGGGACAAACTGGAATCTAATTTTTCTCAAATTCGGATCATTTTCGAGTAAAACAGCTGCCACCGACTGCATTTGTGCAAAGTCAAAATTCGTCTCTGATGGAGGATCACGAGTAAAATTTCGAGCATCCTACAAACAATACAAATGATACCAAAAAATTATCTGCAAAGATTCTTTGATGTTTAAAAGACATAAGAAAAACGTCAAAATCTCATGCAGCTAAGGAGTGGAAGTGCGCATAAAATAGTTACTTCAAAAAAACAAAGTCGTTTGGAAGTACAGGGTAATATAAAAAAAATTACCAGTGAAAGTGACAAAATGTGTTTTTTAGCAACCCACTGATCTGGCAGATCGGACCAAGGCAGTATACATGCTGTTAATTTATTTGCATTTACTTCATTTTTGAATTTCGCTTGCTCTTTATCCAAATTGCCAATTATTGTCTGCAAAAATGATCCCATAATCAAAACATGAATACAATTATGAATGAAGAGAACTTCGGTAAATTTTCGTAAACAGTGTCCAAGAATGTTTAATCAAGAAATAAATTTGACGGGTGATTTCACATGTCAGTTCATAACAGACTTTTAGCACTATAGAACAAGTAGAAGAGAACACACATATTCAAATTTAAAACTCACTACACCTGTATCACCATCTGTTGAACGCAATGTTTTAAGTTCATACCTTTTCAGTAACAACATTTTGCAGCTTTTTTGCGGTTTCTTCAGCGGTTATTGCAGCCTTTGCTGCAGCCTCTTTTGCCAAAGAAAAGAAGGAATCTACAAATGAGACAAGACGAAACGTAGCGCACCGAATGTAAATGTTTAATCCTTTCTTTTATGTTTAGAATACTTTAGCAAATTGCAATAACTCCCTCAACCTGCTAGCCATTAGGCCTTCAACAATTTTATAGCATGTCTTCTGTTTTAGAACCGGTTAATGTTAAACCACTTTGACTAGCATAGAAATCAATCTATTATGCAGCTAATAATACTTTATGATTTTGATAGGTAATTAACGGGAAAACAGAACTCTGAATCTTAGAAAAATTTTTACTTGCATACTTCCTTGCAGTTTCGACAGCCGCAACAGCATTAGTTTCAAGCTTGTTTCGATCTAATCCCCCAGCACCTCGATTATCATCATCAGTACTTTCAAGTTCCATCGTCGACGAGATATTTCCTTTATTTTCCATTTCCTTTAAGCTGCTGGAGTTTTTTTCAGTTTCCGTTTCAACATGTACTTCTTCGGACACAGCATCATCCAAGATTTCATCTGAATCCGTATTATCCTCCGGTGGTATATATATCATATCGGAGATTTTTTTAGTGACCTCTTTTGCTTGCTGCATCCATGATGTGATGTTCATTTCTTTAAAAGAGAACAGCATATGTTTCAATTTTTAAAGTTGTTTGCAATTCGAAAATGTGACATATGCTGCAGGTAGCCATCACTTCCTAGTTTGCAAAGAATCCTTAGCGAGACATTCAATGCCAATCTACCGGAAAATACAGCAATCTGGTGGTACCATGATATAATAGCACTATAGAGAAATCAAATGATTTAATAAAAATATCAACCAAAAGAAATGCGGTTCAGACCCAAGAAATGGAAACCATTTTCTATACATTCCACCAAATTATTTTAATATGCCGGCTGCCATTCGAAAGCTCTTCTTTTAATATTACTAAGAATTCTATAACTAATTTAACAAGTTTCGAAAATTTTAACAGGCCAACTAGCCAACTCGTACAGGAATGTGATTTGCAGAAGATTGTAGATTAAAGTATTTTAGTCTACAAAAACAACTACACTATAATCCCAAATCTGCTATTCGATTTAGTTAATGCGATCAACGAATCTCATAATAGTGAATGATTGTCTCACTGAAATAATTTCATGAATATACAACGACAACACAAAACAAGACACCGCAACATCCAAGCATCGGATTCCCATTCTTAGCTCCCCTTAATTTCAGCCCATCAAAATGATACATCACCACCTCTATGCAAATGAAACTTCTTCAACTATGTCCCACTTTACTCTAGCACTATTTGTCGTTGATATATATTTGAAGTGTATTAAGTTGCGCCTGCTACTCATCTTAAATATACAATTCTCCGGAGTAAAACTTTAATTACAATGACAGCAATAAAATGCATTCCACATATATCCGAAATGGTTTAATTGATGGAACAGTCATTCAAGAAAATAGAATGAACAAATGCTGTAATAATGATTATATTATCTGGAACAGAAATATTCTTAATTGGATTAATTTATATTGACTAAACTCATTGACTAAACTAATATAAGGGATTAACAACAATCCGAAAACATATCACAAAACAATGAGATCAGCATCATGCTGGCAATGTGCAGGGGCACTTCTGCTACCTTCTTGATTTCCCAATATAAATGTTTCCAGAAATTTCAAGCGTTGCAAATAACCGTCCTGACCAGTCGGTTGTTTGAATATAATATCCGCTAGCAACTGCGTTTGAGCTGAAACAAAATCTATCATTGAATTTCTAAATTGTAGGCAAAAATAATTATTTACGGAATTTGATATTGCAGATGCAAAGTAACATAATCTTGCACGTTAAAAATATTTTATTCCATACTAAGTGTCAATTTTGAATAAGTGCTAGAATGGACCATTTTCTGAGATCATTAACAATAAAGAAACATTAAAATTAAATAAATTCTAAAATACGTGGGAAATCAGTACTACAACTCAATATATCGCTAATTTATCACAACAAAAATTCGAAATTATGAAAAGCACAACTGATTTGAGTCGAAAAATATGTAGAAAGTTGAAATAATATACTGAGAATTTCTGCTATATTTGATGTACTGATGTACTTTATTTGTTAGATCTAATTGTTAAAAAAAGATAATTCATAGAAAGATAACAAACTCTAAAATCGCTCAAGTACTTACTAAATGAGCCGAGTTTTAATTTATAAATAATGCAAATTCGTTATAAGTCAATAAATTATAACTTAAAGGTAATTAAAAATAACTTACACAGGAAATCCGAGTCTAAGCTAATATAACCATAATAGTTACTTCAAAAACAGACTGAGCACAGTGAAAGCGATAATCTAGCAAAAGAAAAAGCAAACAAAAAAGAGATGAAACTAACTACTAGCAGTGCTATTCTGTATCATCAGCTCCGTAACAAAACCAATAAAATAAATAAACATGTTGCGATTTTCGATAGGAAATTTTTCGATACAAGACCAACATCTACCGATATCACCGGCTACCCGCAAACATTCTGTTTGTAAAGCTGGAGGTATTATAGATTCTGGAAATAAAAATTGTTAAGACTATGAATGCTAAATTAACTAAGCAGAGATTTCAAAAAAAATTTAGATTCCTAAAAATTCAGAAAAATAATAAACATTAATGAATTTCCCTGTATTCATAAAAAAAATTTTTTTCAACAGAGGATTGCAGAATTTCTGTTTCAGCCGTCCACGATTATTTTTAATGAAGACATTAGGATTGAAATTATCAACCATTCTGCATGTAAACTAATTAGACAGTCAAATACTTCAAGTTAATATTCAAAATAACTTCAATCTTCTAAAACCACTATTTATTTCAGTGGTAAAAAGTTACAGTTGGCCTCAGACTACTGCTCTATTTTTTGTGAAAATCAGCTGAATTTAGAAACATAATTATGACGAATTTAAATTCGTCGATAAAAAAGGTTCCTGCAACTTTATTCTTTAAAAAAGATCAGAAATAGAAAAAAATAGAATTACAGTCCTCAGCAGAAAGAACAAAAACATAATCTAAAATCTCTTACTATTTTTCAGGAAAACCTTAAATTCATCATAGACAACGTATAATACCTGAAATTTTTGAAGATCTAAGATTTCTGAAAAAACGCCAAATACCTTTGAAGGAAGTGATAAGTGTCAGCAAAGCGTCATACATACTGAAAGCTGATTTGCAAGCTTCAACTGAAAAGTGAACAAAATTTGTCAACCGACCAAAAGTATCAATTTTTCCAAATAAATTCAAATTTGTAAATGTAAAAATCAAAAAAAGTCCAAAAGAGCAAATCCGATGAAGAGCAAAATAACATCCAATAAAGAGGAAGAATAGCGAAAAAGTTACACAAATTTACTGGTTTTCCAGTATCCAAAGCATTTCTTAATGCTATGAATTCGCTATGCGCAGAAGAATCATCGAAACATATTTTTTCTAAACCATTATGTTTTAATGCTTCACCTATCCGAAAAACAGATTCCGGTACGCCAGCCATAACAGCGGATATAACTGTTGTACGATTAAAAGTCTAAAAACGAACTGGAAAGAAATTTCCAGTAAAAAAGGAAATCTATAAAGTTTAATGAACACTTAGCAATACAATTCTTCTAAACTAATAATGTTCTAATGTAATCGTATTGTTAAAGGTATGGGACTATTTCCAGTTATTTAATTTTTGAGTTTCTTTTGTAAGTTTGCATCATTCCTAACATGGCAATGATTTATTTTAATACAAATTAGATTCCATACCAGATTAACGAGTTCAAATGCAGATGTTTCCTTTTTTTCCTTGTGAATTAAGTGAATAAACGATGAACCAAAAGAGCTGTGTTGATATTCGGCCGAAACAGTGACAAAATAATGCCTCCCGTGATGCAATTGAAGTACCAGAATTTCTGATAGCTTTCCATCTTCACTTATTGTCCATGCTACTCCCTTATCAATCAAAATCTATAAAAAGACTGCAAATTTACTTCTAAAGAGTAACAAACAACAGTGTAAACGATTTTTTTCGCCATTGTGATAAATCAATATTCTGTAGTTATTTAAAAAAAAAACCTGCAAACTAATGGTACAGGAGGCACCCGGTTGAAGCCTCGAATTGGGCGGTGTAACAGATAGCCAAGGTTCACAAAGTTCAGCACGATTTGGTCTCGCACCAAACGAAAACGAAATTTTTGTTTTACCCGTATTTTTAATTGTTAGTATCCTGGATGTACTTTGAAAAAAATATACTTTGCCGAAATCCACCTGAAAATTTTATAGAAGGTGACCATTTAACATGTGGTCGTCAATGGCAAGTTATAAAGCTGCTTAAGGAACTGAGAGCTTCTGATAATATACACTACATCATTATTAGTAAATTAAAGCTTATAAGTTAAAAAATGTCTTAATTCACTTCGTTTTGTGATAACTCAATTTGTGGAAGTGCCTCATTAGCACGGCGATCTGCTTCTCGTATAGCTTCTTCTAAACAAGCATCCCGTTTAGCTTCATCGACACTTCGTATTCCTACATGAAATATGGACCGCACTGGTTTATGGTCTGAAAACACCACTGATTCTACACTTTCATAGAATTGTTGCCGGATATTCACTCCATCACGATGCCACCATAAAATTCGATCACACCAAGCTGGACAACGACATTTCTCACTTAAACATAACAATCACTACACTGTTATCTATAAAATTTAATGATGAAACATGTTAGAGTTAGCAAAATTCCGGAAAATTAAAATCAAACTACATAGAATGAAGTAAAATAAAAAATCTCAAAATAAGCTTAAATCCATCAATCGTCTATGTCCATTAACCATTTAATGATGGATGACAGAACCTGACAAGCTGTGAAAAGTTCATATTTCTGTAGATTCCACAACACTAAAATATATAACACTGATCTGAAATTGCATCAGAAGTGAACAAAAAGTCCGCAATTAACCTGGTATCCCATCTTGTTGTTCCAGGGTCATACTTATATGTGGGACGGAAATTCAAAACATCTGGTTCTTTAAAATCGGCAAATATATGATTAAGCATTTTCTGTTTCTTTAGCTGAAAAAAGTTCAATTTTTTTTGGAAAAAATTCCAAATGTACAATTTACACACAGCTGATTTCCACAACGATGCAATTTAAACTAATTGTCTTTAATTGTGAATCACCTAAGGAATCGTAAAAAAAAGTCGAATTATTCAACTTAAAAATATCATTCACAGATTTTGATCAAGCAAATAAGTTGCAAATTAAGAAAAATTGTTACTTGTAGAAGCTCACCTGGTCAAATATTATCATATCTCTAAATGTATTCTCGTCAGCGCAGAGACGCCGGAAATCGTCATTACTCAAATCATTATTACTTTCCAGACGAAAATTCATATCACCAAACCAGAATATTACATCGTGATCAAACAAACTTCTATTGCTTTTCGGAAAACGAATCTGCGATATTTCCCTAAAGACGAAATTGAAAGCTGCGATATCACCATAAATAGTGTTATTGCCAGTTTCAATTATAATTTTACAAACATGATTACCTACCATAGTACCATTTATTTCATCTCTTATGATAACCTGTAATCTTGATTTCGCTTTTCCGATTCTTCCTGTCCGGCAGCAAAATGAGAATTCACGAAACAAAGATAGCTATCATTAATCTGCAAACTGACTGCCACACCACCCTAAAGTAATTTTTGAAATTAAACACAAACAACGAGAATTTCCTGTCTACAGGATGAAATGTCTGGTGCTGGAAGTTTTCTACTATTCATTGCAGAGAACAGTATACACAACTTGGACAATAGTTCAACATTAAAAAAGCATTTTGAAAACACGAAAAATATAAAAAAGTAAATAAGAAAATGAAAGTTAAGAATACCGGAAAATAAAATGACGCAGGAAGACCACTATTAAAGAATGCTTGCTTATATTCGTATTAATTCAAAACACCATTATTTTCAAAGCGATTGTTTTCCCATCAAATTATTTACCTTATTGCCCATACGACCCAATAATGGGAAACCAGTCGGCACAATTTCAACATCAGTAGCTGCATCATCAACTCGAACTCTACAATCAATGCGACGATAAATCATCAACAGAATGCCAACTAAGCGTACTTCTTGGACCTGTAAAAATACTGCGAATAGGTACAGTAACACAAATCATGGAATACTAAAACTAAATATTGCGCAACTGCATAGGACATATATAAACGGACAAGTTTAGATCTTCTTCAAATCATCGCAAAACAAAGAAAAAATCTAATACTAGAATATAGCCGGTGGAATTAGGAAGAGACTTTTGGATGACAATCTGCCATCCAGAATGACGTGCTGAAGTATTCATGAGGAATGCCTGAGGAGAAAGATCCATTTCTTGTAATCTGGAATAATGTTTTATTAAGATAATTCATTCCAGAAATTCGTTTTTGTTTTAAAGTTGTTCATAATGCAGAAAAGGATTTCAAAACACGAGAAAAATCCGAATTTGGCTTCAAATGTTGAACTTTTATACAAAACGAATCATATGTTCTCTTCATCTTTTTTCAATACGTAAATATTTTTTTCATCCAAAGCAACAAGTAAGGAATTCAGTCAAAACAACCATCACTGAAATAATGAAACTTGTAAAAGTAAGTCATGTTAGATTGCTGGAAAAGGCAACTATTCTTCATAAAGGATGAATTTATTTTTGAAATTCCTTATTAAAAGCAAAAAATAACCCAACAACGTAAAAATCTGGTGCAGATGCGCTACTACAAGCTAACCAATTCGACAAATCTTCAAGTGCTGGCATTCGGCCATTGACATTGAATGTTGTGATGAATATTGATGTTGCAGTATAAGTCGAATACCTGTAAATTAACAAGTAGGCAGAGTTAGTGATAAATAAACAGGTACTTAATGTATTGATGAACATAATATGAATTGTGAGCAGCATTGAATTGAAAATAAGAGAAATTGTGAAAATAAACGTTACATTATATCAGCATACTGTGCGATATATGGAGTTTTCTTGTAACACAATGGGAAATAAGTAGATTAGCTGCCGGTAATAAATGTAACTGCAATCGTGTCATCCGACATTATGAATTTCTGGAAAAAGTTCTCAACTTCGTAAAAAAATAGGCTAACCTCTCTTCCCAATCACGCATGATCTCCTCAATGTCATCTCGACGAGAAAGCGCTGGTGTAACGTTTCCAAAAGTGTAGAAAGTCATCCTCCGACCATGCTTTCCATGAATTTACTGTCCTATAAACTGTGGAAAGCATTCTAAATCTTCATGTGGCTTCTGACGCTATCATTTTATATTAGAAAAAGGAATTCAAATTCGTTTAAATAGTGTATTGATGAAAACTTTTTCATAAGATGAAAGTTTTCATCATTGCCACATTTAACAAAAACAGCGCAAAAGGAACTAATTGAAAGAATAAAACAATAAACTAAATTATTAAACGCCAAAAATGACGTACGGCAAATCAATCCATTTCAGCAAGTATGTGTATATGTGTTATATAGATATAACTAAATAACTTATTACGAATAAAATTATACTACAAAAACGAATCTCAATTTGTATAACAATATACGTTGCAATTGTGCTGAAACAGTAATCAATAAATTAGAATATATAAAATTAATTCTTTTTTAATCAAATAAACCGATAAGATAAGTCGTTTTTTAGTATTTACAGCTATAATGATGAATCATTTTGCAGCACCGATAAACTCACATTGCCCAATATTGAGGAAAAGACATCTCAAGGATCTAAATATCATAGATTACATTCTAAAAATTGTTGGGCAGTTAACTTTCAGTATAAAGGATGAGAAGATTTAGTGGTAAATTCAAAAAAAAAAGCGAAAAATATTGTTACTCTCTAAACAAAGGAATTATGAAGCCCCTAATTCATTTGAGTTGTAGTCATATAAATAGCTAAATGAAATAAATGTACAATTTTTGAACTTGATTCCTACCGAAAAAATTTCTTCACAACTAGTTTAAAACTACAAGTCTGCAATAGATACACCACCCAAATATTTTGACCAACAAATAATCTCAAAATCCTGTTTTCAATGATTTGATAGCACTAACTGATAATTAGAATACGAAATATGGAAAGCTACAGAAATCAATAAAATGAATCAATTTTTCCAATTAATGACAATGATTTGAACTACTCACAACTAAAAAGAGAATCATCACAAGGACAAATCCAAATCACAATTTCACTCTCTCTTCTTCCTTATCGCGGTAATCATTGAGACGACGATTCGCTTCCTTGAACTCTCTTTGATAAGCCTTGTCATATTCGGCCAAATCAATTTCTCGTACACCCAAGTAAAAAAGAGCTCTAACTGGCCTATGATCCGAAAATTTGACGGATGATACACTATCGTAAAACTTTTGCCTGATGTGAACACCCTTCTGATTCCACCATAAAATTCGATCGCACCAAGCCGGAACGCGTTTTTTTTTGCTGCAAAACAGTCAGAGAATGGAGTAATTTGAAAATTTACTTCACTATATTTAGGCTGGGCGTGGAGAGAGTAGGAGATATAAGGCCTAGATATCTTAGATGATTACAAATAAGATGAAAAGACAACATGTTTGAGACAACAAAATAAACCCACAACACACAAGTTTGAGATAATCAAACTGATAATGTAGCTCTACTTTGATCATAACAAAAGTACTGGTTAATTAACAGAAAAAATTTGAATGTGTTTTGAAATTTCCAAAAGTTCAAATAAACTGTTTCATAATTAAGTCCTGATAAGAGAAATAGAAAAAATTAATAAAGTATTTAGCACGACCTGCTATCCCAATTGTCGGAGTTAATGTCATATTTAAAAGTTGGATGAAAATTCAAAATCTCCGGTTCTTTGAAATTTTCAAATATAATTTTGAGTTTCATCGCTCTTCTAAGCTAAATAAAAAGTACTCTAATACTCCAAACACAACAAATAAATACCGTAATATCACAATGAAAAACCAAGCCTTTCCATTCCATAGGTCAAGCACTTATTAAATATGAAATATTTGTCAGAACAAATTCAGAAATCTTTCTTAATTCAGAAAAAATTTTTTTATGACCTCAAAAATTCTACTTCTATACTATCAAAAAAAAATTCTAAATATGTTAAACATATTAAAGGGCACTGAAATGTATTAGTGCTAAAAAAGTATGTCAATATTGGTGCTTTTATGCATTGTAAACATGTAAGAAGACTTATAGCAAAGTTATCTTTTTTTTTAATTTTATTTTAGCAAGCATAATGAAGTTAGGGTATTCCGTATAAAAGCTCTTGTTTTGAGGTTTCTAGGATCTAATAAAACTTTAGTGGTAAATGAATGCTTAATCTGCTAGACTGTGAAATTTAATATTTCATTTTAAAATTCATGCATTATGTTATACCAAATTTATTTTTTAGTCACCGAACGATCTAACAAATCGTTCATAAGTTCTCCTTGAATACCAATAACCACATAAATCATCTAATAATTGGAATTTTCCGAGTTATATGCTTACTTGATCGTAAATAATCATATCTCTGAATGCCTCATCATCATTGCATAATTTACGTAATTCATTGTTGCTCATACCATATGCAGTATCCAGACGAAAATTTAAATCACCAAACCAAAAAATAGCATCATGTTCGAAAAGTGTTTTACCATTTCGACGAAAATATATACTTTTGACGATGTGTCTGAAACTTGCCAAAATTTCATACTGAGTGTTGAAATAAAAATCAAAAATGACTTTTCCCTCGACAACTGAGATAAGTTTAAAATGTAAAGAAAAATTTGTAATTTATACTTCAAAACATACTTATAATCCATAATGCGTTTTTCATTTCCTTCAATATGAGCAGCGAAGTGTGCGTTCACGAAGCAAACTGCCGTATCATTCATATACATGCTTATCGCAACACCACCCTATAAATTCAGTTTTACCAAACAATTTCATATTACAAGAGAATAAGTATATCTTTCAAAATTCCGTACACAAAACATTTATGATCCATCAAAACTGTTTTGTTATTCATCATCTATGGAATTATTGTTGTAAGTGTAATTACATGCATTTATTTCCTAGAACAAACCTAGATTCAAACGTCATATTATTCCATTGAAACTGATTAGAAATTCAGCAGTACAAAATGCATTTGGAAATGTAACAACATTTTTTCATTAAGATGTAATTTTTACTGAGCTTTCACACTAACCTGTTAAATAGATATCAAAAAATATACCTTGTCTTTCATAGCTGCTCCAAGCACTCGACTGGTCGGTACCATAACTGCGTCAATTTCGGCTTGACGTACTTTGATTTTACTGCCTATACGTCGGTAAACTGCCAACAGTATGCCCACCAACCGTATTTCGCTTATCTGAATGCAAATAAAAGACTGAACCATCAACTTATAGCTAACCACTTCGAACTAGAAAAAAAGAATCATAGTTCTGAACAAAAATAAAACAGACCATATCATAATTTGCGCCCTCAGGAAAAGACTTTGCGATAATGACTTTCCATTCTGCGTGTCGTGTTGATGTTTTCATTATGAAAGCTTGTGGCGACAAATCCATTTCTTGAAGCCTGGAAGTCGGTACCAGTGAAAATACTGGACCAAAAACATTATTCAATTTAAGGAAAACTGGAAATTCTTAAAACACGTAAATTTTCAGGCTTACTTATAAAGCCATTCAACCAAAGTTATCCATTACTTAAAAAATTGTTCCAACATGATCCACACCCTTCATTCAAGCTTAAATGAAAGCAGCGAACCCAATAATGTAAAAGTCAGGTGGAAGAATGCCTTTACAACATAACCAGCCCGATATTTCATCCAATTTTGGTATACACCCATTAACGTTGAATGTGGTAATGAATATTGATGACGTCCGATAAGATGAGTATCTGGAAGAATTGAAGTAATTTTTGAGCTTTATTTTCGTTATTCTTTCTAGTCAAATGAAACAAGCAATCTTAGCTACAATCCATATCACTTGACCAAGAACATATCTGAATAATACCACAAGTGGTTACATACGACAGCATCAGTACTGGTTAAATCATAATTTTAGTAAGAGCTAAAAACGAGTTCTATTACAGGATAATTTCACGTACATGGACTCCCAATCATGCAAAAGCGGATTGACATTGAGAAGTTTTGATGAAGCATGCACAGCATAATCTCCGGCATTTAATTCTTTAATTTTATTTCTTCGGCTATAAATCCTTCGACGTTCACGTCCTTTTCTGCAAATATGTGATTTAACCACCAATTTCATCATAGAAGGACTACACCGCTTTCCCTGACAGCTCAATAACTTCCGATTCATCTCTTCACAACTGAAGCTTAAAATATTCATTGATAGCAATTCGTAAGGTCACTTAATTAATTGATTCGCTCCATTCTAAGCAAAATTGCAAATGAAACGTAATGAAATAAAATTTCCGAAAGACAATCCCATTTTTATCACATAGCCCATCTGTGTATTTCAAAAAATAATTCAGTCAAATCTTATTCTGAAGATACATGCATTTTTTCTTGAAGTCAAGTTATTAAGCTATTTCATACTTCCGACAGCCTAATTCACTTCATTTCAAAGCTTAATTGAAGAAAAACCTCTCTATCCGATAAAATTCCAAAACTCAGTAGATTAAAAGCACAACACTGGAAATTAAGAGAATCGTAAGACTAATAAGACTAAAAATAAGATTTCGAAAGCGGCGCAATAAGATCACTGGAAATACTACTGGGTCAAAACCATGCTGAAGTCATGTTAATATTCTGGCATCTCAAACCTTTGAAATCACCTATTGAAACCTAACACATCCCACTCAAGTGCTTTTTTGATACTCAAACCTTCCTTCACTCCAAAATTTGGAATTAACAACTACGAAAGTGACTAAGGATATAGAACAAGCAGTACTAATAGCTCACGAAACTTACGAGGAGCCGACCCAATTTTTACCTTTTCTTTTCGACACACATCACTGTACTAATCTTGACGAAAAATTGAATTTGATTTGAGATTGAAGAACCTTATGTAGACACACTAATATTTAAATTTCTGGCAAAGAAACTATGCAAATTTTGAACTGGAAGACGGAATTTGCATAACTCTTAAGGCTAATTTATTTTTATAACCAATGATTTAGGTGTGCGAGGAGAAAAAGTGAAGCTCAACTTTCCCAACTTCGTTCTTCACTCTAAATTATATTTGGATAAAGTCGTCTTAGTTTGTCAAAAAATTATTTACTTTCTGGATAAACATAAATGAATTTAATAATGCAGCTATGGACGTCAGAGAACCGAAGAAAACTATAATATGATAAAGCAATAAAAACATTTCTTTTTACAAAGCATTTCCAATCTAATTTTCCCATACCTAATGATAAATCTATTATCTAATTTAAACAGTGTAATGTGCAAGATACCATGCACATCCGGCAAATCAATTTATAAAAAAACTTTATGAGCCAATCTCATACACCGTTTGAGAAAGCTGTATGTAAAATCCGATTTTATTGCAAAAACCAAATCTCTTTATCTAAATATATAAATATCAAGTTCGGCATTCCGGTATGGTTAAAAATTTTCGATTCTGACATTGGATTTGCTCCCCCCTCCCACCTCCCTATTATTGTACTTCAATCTTCTTCTATATCTCGAAGTTACTACACCATTGCCACAGAGTTTTACATTCGATTCAAAGCATGTGAATTTTTCTTTTCTTATTGTACTACTTAGCTCATTTACTAATTTATCCCAATCTTTCACGTCAGTAAATAGATGATGTGACAGGTATACCGTATCGGCAATGGCAATCAAGAATAGTAGATTGCTTAATGCTTTATTATGAATGTAGACAGAAAAATACGAAAGTTGGTTCCAAAAATAAATACTATAAAATAACTTTGATAACTAAAAAAATGTAAACCCCAAAAGTAAATATACGGGAAAAAACCCTTAAATCTGCGCTTTGAGGACGACAGCACTCATCTTGCCTGAAATAACTTGAAAGAGAAAAATATAATCAACTGGGAATGCTGATTACAGTTGAAATGTTGGATATAAGTACTGCTTCATTTTCTTCTAGCAAATAGTCTTCTGTTACTCATGCTCACTTGAATTTTTTATCTAATAACCAGAACAAAACTAGAGGGTTTTGGGATTGCCGACTGAAAATTTGAAGGATGATAAAAAACGAAAAAGCTGAAGAGTGCTGAAAATAAGAAACTTTTTCTCAGTAAATACTTCTCCGAAGAATAAGACTAAAATTGAACAGAAAAATGAACAAGAGAAAGAACAATTGTGTTGCACAATTCCATTAATCGATACAAATTTTATATGTAGATCAAATTTCTGGAAATTCATGGTTTCTTCCATAACAAATTTCAGTGTTCCGGAATGAGCTCTACGTAACGCGATCCTGAAATAAATAAATTCACATCCTGTTAAAAAATACAACAATATAAACAACACTATTTTATCGTCCAAAATCATTGCTCGCAATACGGAGTCGGTACATCCTATAAAGGCTAAATCAGCATAAGTGCCAGTGGAACAACCGCTTCCATGCACCACCTACCTTTGAAGCATATTAAGGTTTAAAGATTTAATGAACTGAGCTCAATGAACATTACTGACTCAAAATTTCAAATAGGAAAGACATGCCCATGTAATTTCGATTGCGTTGCATAGCAGCATCAAAATCTGCTCGATTTCTAAACTCGACAATTGCCTCACCACTGGGACGATCTGTTCCATATTCGTACAGCACATCAATTGATGCTGGTCGCAGCGGTTGGAAGAACTAAATTTGAAAATGGAAGACTTCAGAGATTAATAAAAGTTACAAAATTCAAGATTTGACTACTTCACATAAACAGTGTTTAAATCACTGACTGCACTGATATTCAATTAATATAGCTGATATTAAACAGAAAAAATTGCCCAAAACACATCCTTTCCGCATGAAAGAATTTGATTAGTGATATTTTATAATTAATGAAATATCATGATTAGATACCAATAAACTAAAGCCCTCCAAGAAATTGCTCAAAATGAATAAAATGATTACAAATCAAGCCCAAATCCAGAACATCAACCCAGAAAAACTGAACCAACCAATCCAAAGAAATGTGCGGACCCTTTGAAATCAACCAGCCTGTCGATTCCAAACATAAGCAGAATGTCGCCAATACGAAACATCACTATTAGCAGATCCTGTTCCCCTGATGTCCAACTATTTTCTCAACTTATTCTAGGTAGGTAAACATACTTTTTACTGTTGCAACTTACATCGATTATATCGCGTTCCGTGGCCCGATATGGAAGACCGCGCATCCGTATACAGTATTCCGGTGGCGGCGTCATGTAACGACGCCGCGGTGGTGAATACCCCCTATGGCCACCCATCGGCGGTTCATCTCTCCAACCCCGTCGCATCGGTCCTCCACCACCACGTCCACCACCGTACCCATCATCATAACCGTCGCCACCACCACCATATCTGTCGGCCCATACTTCTGCAACCCCCCGTTCACATTCACATTTAATACCCAAAACAGAACCATAGATCAGCAGATTTCTGAACACTTTCCAAGGTCGCAGCGATCCAGAAATTCCAAATTTTCCATTAAGAGCCAGGATAAGACCTGGTAGACTGCTAAACAACTCATTTGTTTCCAACTAGCCATTATAGAATCCACCACGGCTTTCCAGAATCCCCGTTTTTTCCCTCAAATTGAATTGATGATTCCTTTCATCAACTCATATTGCGCCATCCTTTCTATATAAATGTTATTTCTAGAAGTTTAAAAATGAACAAACCATTTCGATGAATTCTGGAATCGCGATAGCCCCTATCGGCACCTGGACGATCATATGGTAACCCTCTCGGGCGACGATCTCTTTCCCACCCTCGACCACTACCACCGTAAGGATCAAAAGCTCCATCTAAAGCTCGAAGCATCTCACCATAAGACGACGGATATATGTCCACATATCTTAATAACGAAATCGATTAATTTTAAAACAAGTCAAGCATTCAGTGCCTCAATAAACTGCCCTCATCAAACACTTACCGCTGACAATTAAACATTCAAGACACGACGCTTGAAAATTGCCACAGTTTTTTAATACAAAGCATTTTTTTATAAGACAAAGAATATAATGAATACAAAACATTTTTTAACATAAGAATATTAAGTATGAAAAAAAAAACAATACCTATGCTGAATGTATTCCTTATTTTTAGCAAGAGCTTTAGAAGCCGAATCATCATCATTAAATGCAACGAAAGCCTCGCCTTTTGGTTTCCCACTATAACGATCGTAAGTCATAATAATACCTGGAAAAACAATTAATTGAAGCACACTATGAAAGTAACCCCACATGTTCTCTTGTATTAAACATCCAAACTGACAATGAAATTTCGAATGTAAATCATCTGCTGTTAAATACTAGAGCTTTCCTGATATTATTTTCAAAATACATAACTAGTAATAAAAAATTTTCCACCTATTGAGCTATTGATTCACCATTTTCTGAGTGATTCTGATACTTGCACTACAGTAATAAGAACCATATTAAAAATGAATTTCTTAAACATGAAAAAACTAATTGTATTTGATGTAAAATAGAAATACCTTTATCGGCTATTTCAAGTGGTTCGAAGAAACGCATGATTTCTTCCTTAGTACAGCCGTATGGCAAACCTCCCAATCTAACGATAGATGTCTCACGGCCAGGCAAATTTGGATCTGCTACCGATCCTCCGTACCGCTTGTCGCCATCATCATAATCCGATTCCATTGATGACACTTGTTGAAGCTTAAAAACAATGACTGATTCGTTTCAGTAACACAAAATCCACTTTAAAATCTGTTTCAACAACACCGTAAAAAAACTATTAAGTATGTTTTCTCAAGTCCCATTCGAACCGAAATTTTATGTGAAGACAAATGAAAACGATATATGAACAAAGTAGTCTTTCCAAGTGACAACAGCGACTAAGGAATAAAAACAGCATACAGTGAAAGTAAGAAAAGAGCCAGATGAAGCTAAATATGTACAATGCTGCTAAATAAAAACGAAGTGACATGTAAATAAAATCATTCAAATGTTCAAAGAAATATTCATCTATTTAAGCAGCTAAACCTTCTCGTCGTTTATTTTAATTCGTGTTCTCTTTCAGTACATGTTATTTGTTAAAATAAATTCCTAAGTAAAAATCACCGTTCTAAGCACTGACAACTACTGACAACGTATTTGAACGAATAAATCGAGAGGAACAAACTAACCTCTACGTATCGTTTGCCAATATATTTCTTGTCTTTTGTTAAAGCAAAGTCATAATCTTCTCGACTGCTAAATACGACAAAACCCTCACCACTTGCACGCCCATCACGATCTTTCGTTAGCTTTATCTGAGTAATTGATCTTGCTGCTTCTGAAGATGAAACTCATAGCAATTAAATTTGATAGACTTTATTCGTGTCCAAAATTAATCAGAATATAACTGGCGTGCCATAAAATTTTAAAAGAATCGCTTGATAAAAATGATGCAATTCGCCTTATCATTCTCATCTTAAGGTTCATAATAATCTTTCATTTAAATTCTCATCACTCTGACCGTAGGATTTTCTAAGGTATAAGTATAAAAAGCTCAAAAGCTAAGCATTTCTTGTACTGGATGATACACTTCCGAGACAGAAATGAGACTCATAAATAAGCTTTCACATAACTTCCATTCTCAGCTCAGGTACAAAATAAATTCCAAGGAGCTGGAGAAAATTACTCTCACGTTTAAAAAAGTAACGATCTGGAGTGGTTGCTAGTTTACAAGGGTAAACTAGCAACCACTCCAGATCATCATTTTATTGCATCCCCTAATTTCGCCAACATTGACTTTACCTAGATATTTGGTTTAATGAAGTGGAAAATAAAATAATCAACTAACCCCCAAAAAATTCACGTAGATCATCTTCTGTACAAGACCATGGCAGTCCACGACATTTCATTATGAAATCCGTATCTGGCATTTCGTCTTATACTTTTAAGAATCGGGGATGGGATAGCTTGGTAACAAATATCTAAAAATTTCTAAAAAAAAACATCGATGCAAACACTACGTGTTGGTCGATAAAAAATGCACTCACTATACTTACACGGCAAAATCGCTTGAAAACAAATGCTACGTCTGACAGATTCTGTTACAGGAAACTCGTTTGCAGCCAGTTAGCTAAATTCTATCCAGTTCACTTTTCACCTCTAATTATCCGCAGAACTGCACAAAAGCTCGAAAGGCTTTATGTCTTCTTAGAAACAACCTCAATCAGCGAGAACCCACGTACAAGTCAGAAGCGCAAATTTATCGATTCAATATTTAACGCAAGCTTACAATGAAAACTTGTGGTCTATTGTCACATTCAGTAGAGGGCCATAATATGTCAACTAATCATGAAAACTAACGGGTTAGTCGATCAGTGAAGAGGTTGCAAATGCACCTCTATTGAACACCGAACCCCGCAGCTATAGTGATCACCGAATCTCGCATTTTTATTGACCTCTATGACAGGGATTGATGTCTTCGAATTTGATTTTTTAGTTTCCAAACTTACAGTCGAAATTTTTCCAAATATTTTTCACGCGATTCTATGAAATTCTTTCAAATCATAAAAATAGCAAGTAGTAATATTACAGTAAAGTTCGAAAAAAGGAAGGTTGAATTTCATCGATAGCTTCATTTCAAATATATTTCAATTATTTTCTTATTTTCTCACTCAGCGGACTATTAATTTCCTTAGAAATTGGAAGAATATGGGAGAACAAGCTCTTAACCATACGGTCTGCAAATGAATTACTAATATTTTGAATAAAAGTAAATTGTAGAAATGATCATTGGTAAAAGTTAATTTGTACTTTTAAACAGCGAATTTATTAAGCCAATATAATATCGGAATTAATATTGAAATTAGCATAATATCGAAACCAATAAAGTAATTTCGAAGTTCAAAAAATTTGAATTTTAATGTAAGGACAAAATTTGGTCTGCTATATTTCACCTATCATACTAGCTCAAATTTTGGTGCTTAGAATAACCTAAATGCGAAAAAATTATTGATTGAGTGATAAGAAGATAAATGAATAAAAAAGATCTGTACAAATAACCAGCAAGTCATCACAAAACTATACACTGCAGAAACAGTCCTGCTTCCAAAATATCGATTACTAGCGATTAATAATAATATACATTTCGATTAATAACACAATTTAGAAAGTATCATACAAATAACATTATCCGAAATTCATAAGACAATGCAACATTACAACAAATTGATATGAAGAAACATTCAGTTTAAATTTCCAATTTTGGATTACATTTTTCTCAATTCGAATTTCTGAATAAAAATGTAAGGAAGTGAATTTGGAAGGACTGATTTTGGCGGATAACAACGGCCAAAAATTGACAAAGAAAAGCAGCACAATGATTTATGCAGTTTAATTTCAAAATGAAAAGAAACAAAAATAACCTACATTGAACCAATTTAAATGTTTCTTTTGTTGTTCCTTACATTTTTGAGGATTTGTATAGAAAGAATAATAAAAATTCAATGTCGAAAGCATTTCTCAAAAAATTTCGTTATCATCGTGAATAGATGTAGACGAGCCCAAACAAGGCTGTGACTTCCATCTGGATATATCTGCAAATTATATTACTAATTTGCTTTAATGTTGATTAAAAAAATCATTTTAGAAAAGTCTAACAAGTTCGCACTACCAAAGATTATGGCTCCTAAAAAGAATAAAGCTTGAGATTAAAATTCGAAGGTTGAAGATCAACATTATAAAACTATGCAGACAATAATATTCTATGAGTGTTTTGATGTTTATATAAAACTATTCAATTAAATGCTTTCGAACTGAGAACATGTCACTTTAATAAAGTACCAAAGTGGTAATTAAAGCAAGAAAGGTATTCCAAGTATTCCAGTTGTTGAAATTTTATTTTCGAAATGTTTGAATTCCTGATTTTCTTAATTTTAATATTTGTGCGGTTTGTTATCCCAAATGATTGAAATCACAAATTTGTAGAAACAAACCATAAGTTGGAATTGTATATTCTCCTCAGCCAATGCTCGTATTAGTTGTGCAGAATTCTGCAGATGAACGTTATCTGCAAGCATTAGCTAAATCGAACAGAAAGAAATATTGAATATTTGAAATCATTTTCCGTTGCTGTCTTAATTTGAGTAAATGCATACATACCTATTAACAAAAGACGACTTGTAATTCTGAAAAGTATCTTAAAATATTTAATTATACTGCCTAAAATTATATAAACTTTATTATATAAACTATACAATTATATAAACTTTAGGTTCCAAAGTTTAAAATCCCTGAATTCCTTTCAAATTCTCTACTAATGTTTGTTTGAAAGGTCAGAAAGTTCAAAACAATCAAGAATAATCTAGCGACCAATCACCATAATATATCAAGCCAAATGATATAAAATTATGCCTTTGCAGCTGAAAACTATAGTATTGATTTTAATTTGACTAAGTATGGATAAGGAAGATGTGATGAATATTATTACAAAATATGATAAAATAACCTTTCTAAATTTTCTTACCATCAGACATTCCATGTGCCAGTAGAAACTGTACTTCTTTAAACATGCTAACATTTCTGACAAGATTAGTTCGTTCATATGCAAGTGCACTTGCATCACCCATATAACGTTCCGTGTAGGTAGCATCTGTAAATTTAAAAAATTTAAATTTAAATAGCCGAGAATCAATCAGTAAAATTGCAAAAGTGTCAGGAATATTTTCTCAATTAATTCGTCATTGTATATATTTTAAAACTTACCATACAGCTTAAAATCTGTAACAGGTGCAATACTCACAGCACATTTGAATAAATGACTTGTGTCACGTTCAATCACATGCGCTGAGACAAATCCGCCATATGACTATAATGTGAAATTATGGTTATGATAATTTTAACATGTACGTTTAATTAATTCATATTTAAATAAAATATTCTCTGAAGGTATTTACTAGGACAAATATAATTTTGGCTAATGTTATGTTAAAGTTGGGTGGAACAGATATTTTTTAGATTTAAACTTCTTTAAAATTTTAACTGCTAATTTTGTTTTTTTTTAGTTGTTTGCATAGTTTAAATCGATTATAAATATCTTGCAGAACTTGTAATAGAAAACTTACCCATCCCCAGATTGCAATATGCTTCGAATTAACAAATCGATATTTAGAAGCTAAGATCCTGAAAAAAAGAGAGGGAAAACGATTCAAACAATTTATTTATCAACAAATGAAAATTTTTTAAAATTTTTAAAGTTTGAAAAAAATAGAACCTTTGAAATCTTAACAAAATCCTTTCTTTTACCTTAATTTTTGAAGAGAATTAAAAAAATGAATGAGAAAGTCTACTTTACTGCCTCAATTTGATCATCAATTTCCACCGTTCCTAAATGGCCATATATCGGTTCTTTATATTTCCATCCTCTCATGCCGGATCCACGTCCATCGATGTAGATGACAACATATTTTGCATTAGATGCTAGAAACATATCCAATGTATTCGGCCTTATCTCTTCAGTAACCTTTTGTGAACCTGGCCCGGTATATCTGTAAAAAATCTGATAAAATATGATTAAAATTCCAAAAAAAAACCAATAATTTTTAAACGACTTAATATATAAGTTTTGAGGAATACTAGAACAAGAAAATTAAGTTAATAGCTATGTAAAGTAGTTACAATGAAAAGGAAAAATAGCCGTAAACAGGACAGAATGAAAGCAAATTAAAAACTTACACGGAAACAATAACTGGATATTTGACATCGACTATTGTTTGATCAAAACCTGGTGGTAACAACATCTTCACGATTGCTACTGCAACGTTAACCTTATTTTCCTATCTCATTTATTGTTAGATAATTATTTGACATTTAATAGTTGCAAATCATTTTCAACTCATTTCGTAGCTGTATCCAAATTTGATATCCGATCATATTGATAATGTATTGTTATGACTAAAATTAGTCCGTCAGGATAGAGCACAGTCTTTCGGATTTGTCTAATGCCTAATAAAATGATTTAAAATGTGGAAATTTAACACTTGCCATATCCATTATGTAAAGTAATATTATCATATCGTGTTGTAGCGAGAGCTTTTTCATTATATTTCTGTTCCAGTTTCTTCCATTCTGTCAATTCTTCGACTACAAAATAATATAAGGTATGATTTTGATTACAAAATGACATCATGTATGATACGAGAACACCTTTTTTATTTTGAAATTAGTGGCATGAATTTTCGCTTCAAGTTTAAACTTAATTTAAGTAATAAAGTTGCCATTAACGAGTTTTTTCTACATTGTTAAAATAGGAGAAAAATTCCTCATAAAACGCGTAGAAGAGATCTTTCAACGCTTGAAAAAAAATTATATCGTAAAGCACTGCTTTAGAATTCTTTATTTAGTTATCAAGAAGGTTGAGGGTTAAGGCATAACTGTTGTTTTTTGGAAAAATTACTTAATGAGTTGTTAGAGGAAATGGATAAAAAATATGTTCGAGGTATGCCTGGACCGCGACAACTCAGGATATACTTGTCTATGTCACTCGAAAATATCACGTCTTGGAATGTACAATCTGGTGCAATACCACATGTCACACATTTTGTTGAATTGCTATTCCTCGTCTGAAATTAAATTTTGTGTACATTTCCGATCTCTTTGTGACTTATACATTTCCGATCTCTTTGATCTTTCAAATAAATTTTTAAGTCGGAATTTCAACATTGATTTGCTAAAGCGATAGTAACTAATAAAAATTTAATTTCAACTAAGTTAAGACGAAATTAATTTACCACGTAATATGAAGTTACATACATATGCCTTTGCGATGGAAGTGGTGAGGCAGCCATAAAGTACCTAAAAGAACTAACAGATTCATTCTTGAACTGGATAGGAAACACAGTTTAGATAGGCAGACAACGAATTAGAAAAGCGCTTATTCTAAGCTTGGTGAGTCATTTTTGGGTTAGTCTTAGCCTGAGGAGCCATTTAGAACATTTTTCCTTCGAATATTCGAAACTAAATATTTCAACTTTAATTTCATTTTATTGAAATGGAATTAGCACATATTTACTAAATCCTAGACCGTGAAAAATCAATCAAGAAAGATACCGGAACACTGGAAATATACTTACACAAGTTTCGCCTTCTGATTATAGCCAATAATTGATGTTACATCATAATCACTCCATGTAAGAAAGACTGCTTTCCCATTTGTGTAATTTTTCTGCAAACATAGCATAATTTCAATAGCATAATTTTATTCTTTTAAATTTTATTAAAATTCAGAGACTAAAAAAAGACTGGTCTGAAACAAGTGCAAAACTTACGGACACAGTTATTCGAGCAATTTGAGTGAATATTTCACCGGATGTACTATATCCAGGTAGACTAACAAAATACGAATCGTTTGAAAAATGACGGATACGGAAACTTTCCGGTTCAGCCCACAATTTATGTCCGGCAATAACGTAGTGTTGGTTGAAATTCTGGAAATTAATGGAACATCAATATGTTCATTTCCAAAAATAAATGAAATTATAAGTTTTTACTTCACAGATATAATTTTTGAAAATAAAATGATGACATTACTGAAAGGTGTTAACTTGGAACAAAAGGATCAGAGGTATCAGTGTGATAATATTTCAAAAAATGTTTATTACTCCAGTAGTAAGTGAGAGGTCTTTATATTAATAAAATATATTATATTATTAGATTCAATAAAATTGATCTACCAGGACACATTTTCCGGAGTCGAAAGTACAAATTGTAATCGATATAACATTTTGATATCTGTTAGCAAATACAGCCATCAAAAGATCTTCATTAAAGAGTGATATCCAGGAGGCTGCGAATAAGTAAGTCGATAAACTAAAAGTGCTTTTTATATTCTTATTTTTAAATTTGCATCATTAAGTCTACTGAAATTGAATATCCTTATTTGATATGGACTAGAATACCTTAAAATTAATCACATAATTTAAAATAAAGTAATACTTTCATTTCTGTCATTTGATATTATCACAGAAAAAAACCTTTTGTGTCCAAGAATAATATCCATTTCTCGAGATATTTTACTTTCCTTATTCCAAATATTGATAGTAATTTCAGGTAAATATTTGACACCTGTTTTTGGGTATGGTATTTTGTTCATTGTCGGATACTGCTGCTGTGCGAATGATGGATACTGTATTAAGGAGACTCTACGGTCATCAATTCTGATGAAAGCCAAATACTGTCCTGATTTTGACCACCACAAACCCTTAAAGAAACTTCTTGTTAGCATGAATGATTATCATATTAAAGAACAGCATTGTGTTGATCGACTTCTATCGAATTGAATACATTTACTTACTACATTGCTGTTGAAAATTTCTTCCTCATAAATCCAGTCCGCAACACCATTATACACCAATGTATCGTTGTCTCGAGTAATCCGATATATATCGTTATCATCAGGTCCCTTGCCGTAATAAATATCATTTTGATGTACAAATGCCTACAAAAACCATTATTCCGCCAAAAATTTTTTCCAAAAATGCACGGAATTGTTAAAAAATTTTTTTAACATAATTATCCGCTCCATTTCACATAATCTCTCTTTCCTCCCTATGCACTTCTTTACTTAATTAATCAAAGCAACAAAATTCTTAAATTTATTCCAAAAATTGAGAAAATTTGAAAGGCCAAATTTTTGAGGGTTAATGGATCAGATTTGGAAATTAGAACAATTCATTTTATTAAATGTTCAACAGTGTAACAGAAATTCAAACTTGCTATAGATGAAGTTATGAAATCCGAAAAAAGCATCTAATAAATGATCTCGGAAATAATAGTGCTTTTTTTGTTTCTTTGTATTGAAATTCGGAATACTTGAAAGTACATGATTGAGTCCAAAAAATAAGCATCTGCTAAATCAGGACTTCCGTATAATTTTAGACAGTTTTGTCCGTTTACTCATTTCTTACTTTTGTATGTGTAAAATCAATTTTTCTTTTTATGAGAAATTATATAACAGATTGTTCTGAAAACTTTTGGTCAGATAATCCGATAGTTCCAAAGGACAAATGGCAACTCAATCCTGGAAAAGATGAATAAATCTTGATATTTCTTTTGTTTGTTTCACCGATGCCATTTCCTTCATAACATTCTGCCCCTCATAAAATAAGAAGGTATGTTCATCGAAACGAAACTGAGAAAGCGCAGTAAAGGTATAAAATTATAGACTATGTCGGAAGGATTAAAGCCTAGATTGGATCGCTCTAATATTCCTTGATCTATAATTTATCATATCGAGCTGGAATATTTTCAAAATCATTTGCAAAGCTTACAAAATCATTCGACGTTGGATTCCAAACAAATAATTGCAATAACTCATCACCCGTTCCTAGCGGTCCAACTGATGCAAATGTTCTGCAGTAAATAGAAAATGAATGCTTTTAGAAATTGCATAACAAAATAAGAGAAAAATGATGAAAATTTTTATTAAAAAATAAACAAAAAGGCTTACTCCGACTGCATAGAATAAATTAAATAATTCATACTGTTACCATTCTGAAATGATACTTACATGATAATTTATACAATTCAAAAGAAATATATTTCTATTACTTTCGACACATGCCAAATACCGCACTTATTATTAAGGCGTTTAGTAACATTAAAGTTAATATTTGATAAACATTATCTTTTTACTGCTTAAAATGCAAAAAAAGATCGTAAAGAGATCATAAATTACCATTTTATCATCATACGAGAGAGCGATGTAGGAAGAATCATGTGAGAAAACAAGCTGATTAATATGTCCTTGTCTACCCTGCAAATAAAATGCCTATTTTCAAATAATTTCATCAAATTTGATAAATTAAAATTAGTTAATAAATAGTAAAAATTCAATAGACTAGTAAAAATAATCAACTACGGATATAAATTTGACTTGAAATATTTATTCTTTTTCAAGCTGTATATGTATCATCGATTTAAGCATTAGCACTGATCTCAAACAGTACTTTACCATTTTACTAACCAGGATGTCATCCTTGGTGTAAAGATCGGAAGTGATCGGGAATGAAGAAGTGTTGACTATTCTGACGAAATCTACTGCTCTAAGCATAATGCGATCATTGTCCATCCAGTCGATTGTCTCTATTGGACTCAGTAACGTATTATGCAAAATATCTGTTAACGTTAACGGTGTCCCTTTACTCGTTCTAGCAGGACTGGCTACAATTTCGTAATTTATAATTCATTTCAATTTAAACTGAAATTCAAATAAAAATTAAAATTTTTTGACATCAGAACATTGCTGATAAAAATTAGTCAAATGTTTTGCAAAAGATTGCGGATAAATAGTTCCCAATATTTGGTAATTGTGAAGTTATAATTAACAAAATAAGTAAACTATAGAATTCCTACAATAATTTTTTGAAGATATGTTTGAATAAAATGAATAAGCTTCAATAATTACAATTACAATCAATCCAACAAATGAATGTTATCAGTGTGCGATAACAATCATGATTGCTTAGTTAGGTGTAAAAGAGATGATGGAATTTTAAGGATATATCAGTGAAATGAAACTTTGAAATAGTTCCGGTTACTTTAACTTTCTAAAGTTCCTTTTCAAAATGTATACATATATTTCACCTCAAAATATGTTTCGCATTTCACCTTTTTTCACCTTATTATAAAATTATAGAGAGATTTTTTTCCGCTTTATTTCTTCTATATTTATTTGATTAATAACAATAAAATGCACTAACTTTTCAACCCATTTCCATTCTTACTGTAGGAGTAATTTAAAATAAGATTTAAGAAGAATTAAACATTCATTGTAACAAAAGAGTTAGCAAAATTGCATTAATTAAATGCAAACTAATAAAGTATACAATAATTCATACAGTAATTATGCACCACACAAATGTTCAATGCAATTTCGCTAACTCTTTTGTTATTATACAAACAAATTGTTATACAAACAGTTATTTTTTTTAATTACATTGTTTTCGTCATTATACTATTTGATTTCAGTAAATTATGCATACTGAAACATTCTTTTACTCTATTATATTTATTATAAAAGTTAATAAACTTTTCAACGAATTATTTTACAGTATACGTATACTGCAAAATTTTATGTATATTTCAAAGTATTATTGTACTTTGTCGCAGTATGTTACTGTGATAATCTAGGCTTGCTAAATATTAAGAGAAACAGAATAGTATAATACTTGAGGATTTCGAAAACTTTAATTTCCATACATTTGCATAAGTAACATCACAAATTCTGTTGCATATAAACTATTTTATTCCTTAGATCTAAGCATCAAACACTGGTTGGATGGCGACTTTGCCTGTGATCGAATCAATGAATTACTATTTATTTAATAACAATAAAATAAGCAAAGAGACTGAAATAAAGGGAGCAAATTTTGCTATTATGATAAAGGATACCGGGAGAGTTTAGTGAACGGGTACAGAAAATTTTCCGATCACAGCATAATCATTTTGCATTTCTTTTTTCAAAATGATCCCATGATACTTTAGATATTCGCAATGCTTGTTTCTGTAAGTATAGAATTAATTGAGAGCAATAAGCGATTAACTTACTTGGAGTGATAAGGAGTGCAGTGGCTACAATAAATGAGCACATGACAGCGATAACTAGTAGAGCAATGATAATACCACGCCAGTTACGTTCGAACGGTCCCGAACCTATTAACTCCTATAAAAATTTATAAAATTTAAATTTGACGACCTATTCTAAAAGCACAAGTTAAATATTAAATTAACAAAAATGATAATGTAAGCTACGATTTTTATCAGTTCAAATTTAAATCAAAGTCCAAACGTTGAATGGAAAAATTTCCTCCCCATATATTAATTTTTAGCTAAATAAGAACACAAGCTATGTAAAAAACATAGCGCTATAAAAGATCCTTCACTCAGTTAAAATATTAACTTTATGGATATATGCTTAGAAAAATCGAACATTCGATAATTCGAAAATGTTTTCTCCGGTAATAAAAACATCAAATATTAGAATAAAATAATTGGAGAGGTCATTTGAACAAGTACTGATGACGTTTTGTGATACCTATCCATGCAGTTAAAGATAGAAGTAAAGTAGTAAAAGATATCACTGATAAGAAAAGAATCATCATACTATAAGAAGATATATCAAGTTCTCTGGGAAGGAAATAAGTCCAGCACCAAATGACCAATAACTATTTGTTATTTATTACAAAATCATCTTGAATTTTATCTCTCCAAATCATGAGTAGGCAGCATTAAAGTGTTGTGATTGCTATTTGTGTAATTACTGCCGGATAAAGATCAACAATAGAACATTTCGTAGTGTAAAAATAAATGTAATAATTAATCGATACATTGGTAATTAGTTATTTCATTAAGAAGTAATTAATTATTTGTTGCCTTTTACTAGCAATGAATTAAATATAAATGAAATGAAGCTGAACGGTATCATACAATAATGAATTTATAAATTATCAATATATTCATTTCCTTAGGCATATTGCTAATTTTGACATTGTCAATTAAATTTTAATGCATTAACATACTTTTTAAATGTTATCAAAATTTAAGAGTATTCAAAATCGAATTTTTTTAGAGTCATCATATTATTTATTTATATTAAATTTATCGGTATATAACAAAGACTTTTATATTTTTTTAAAATATGGTAATAAGTTGGAAAGATATAATTTCAGACGAAGAAAGTTAGCATAATTTATGAGTTTACCTTTATTTAATGAACTTTTTAGAAATTACTTTTCATCAAACTTTACTTTTTCTATAACGCTAAATATGTAATATGGCTAAACGACGGAATTATTACTTGAATTGCTGTCGAAGTTCTTAAAATGATTATGAGGAAAACGAAAACAAAAATTAGAATGGACAGAAATAGATGAAATTTGAGGATGGAAGTATTACTTGTAACTTTTTTCTTTTATTCCAAATCCAACAGGTCTGTATTCTATATCAGTATCCAGAATTATTTTTATCTATTCGACTATTACAAAAAAACAAACAAAAATAAAAAATATTGCAATTTTTAAAATTTATCTGAACCTTTACTAATTTGATAACAATTCGCCAACATCATTAAATGGATCGAAATCACATTGTTGATAATTAATTATAATTAATTAGTGTATCCACACAAAAACAACTAAATGTTGCAGTTAAAGGACATGAATTTCTGTTCATGTCACGCATGTAATAAATACGGTGAAGTTTTAAGTTGGAGTTATGCGCATAGATAAAGAGGAAATAATGCAGAGAGAAAAGGAAATGAATGAAAAGATATAAACTTTAAACTTATAGAAAATCTTTCCTCGCTGAAAAGAAATATCAAAGTTCCCTAAGATAGCTTTATTTAAGAGCAAAAGAAGAAATTGGGCGCAATATGATGTGAGCAGAAGAAGCGCAACATACCAGGAAACAATAAATATTGCATACTATCACATCAATTGGAAAATTAGTGAAATATAAGTAAATGACAGTAAATTTTAAAAAAGAATTATTTGAAATTCCTTCAGGGAATGAGAGCAGGGAATAAAAAGATGTTTAAAAAAGTTCCATCTCAATTTCTGACATTCACTTTAACATATATAGCTCTCCAAAAAAAGTGAATCGATTATTGGCATAAAATTATAAGATTTAAATTTAAAAAGAAAATGATTTTATTAACATATGAATTTATAAGTGAATAATTTGAAATTAGAAAAAACTTAAAAACGAGTTTAAAAATTGATGTTGCGTGAGTTTATTAGTTAAATGAAGTTCATCTTGTAGCAATATGCTTTTATACATTTGAAATGGGTTGATATAAAGAAGCTTAAAACACTAATTAATCTATTCTATTAAATGCGCCTACCAGATGGATTATTGGTCGTTTTTAAATATGGCAATTTATGCACATAAGATTCGACCCATTAATTTCAAGAGAGATTAACAAACAAGATAACATTTACCCAAATGAAGTATCTCACAGAAAATTCTACTAAAATTACGAAGATTACAGCTAATTTACCCCCTGAATTTACATCTTGAAAAATTATCAGAAAACAAAAATGATTAAACTAGTCATAAAGGCTTGTGAAAGTGCCTTAGTAAGGCCGATTAAATGTTATGAAGTTCGAAGATGGAAATGAAGATATTGTACTAGATATGACACAAACGAAATGGCCAAAAACCGAACTGGTTCACTTGTGTCTTCTCGGGATATCTTATGATAGATAAATTCTTTTAGACATTTGGGCAAATGTAAGCTATACATCATGAAGAAAATCAGTTCTCCTTAAGAATTGTAATTTTGGTCATTTCCTTTTCCTTCTTGTTTTTTTTGCCTTTCTCCGCCCTTTCCTTCTAATTTCTCCATCCAAGTTGGTCACAACAACTTCATAAAACTGGTCATAAAGTTGGTCATAGCTAGTCCAACAAATTCTTGTTTGTAGACATCTCTCATTTTCCTGTGGATAACTCACAGATATATTCAATGTTATTTTATAGAGGGAAAAATATTGTGAAGAAAATGGCATCATGCTGAATAGGAAAAAGGAATATCAAGATTTATTTATTTTGTTCCAAGATTGAATTGTTATTTGTTCTTGGGAATGACCTGATTACCTGCCTAAAAATTTAAAAAAAATCTGTTATATAACTTTTCATAAAAAGATTAATTTTGCACAACCAAAAATAAAAAAATGAGTAAACAAAGAAAACTGTCTAAAATTTGTCCTGATCTCGAAAATGCCCACTTTCTGGATAATCATATAATCAGTATTCCGAATTTCGAACGAAAGAAACAAAAAAAGGTAGCATGACTTTCTAAAAGTCGTTAATGAGCGATAGATGCTTTCTTTAAGATTTTATGGTTTCATGTTTTTACGGATAAAGTTATTTTACAACTACTCGACACATACGAAAAAATTATGTTTTAGTTACGTTTTCGAAAAACTAACACAAAATATCCGGTATTTTTTCATGTTTATATCATCTTTAAGATTAGAAATTAGAAAGCCTTTTTTCGAATTCAAGATTTCATCTACCAATGGTCTTGACCGATAGACGTTAAGTGAGCTGAACTATCTATCTTTCGCTTTAAAATAACAAATCGTGGAAGGAAATTCATTGTACTTCCCCATTATAAACATATTATTAAGTGAATATGTTTTAAAACAAGCTACTTTTGAAATTTATATAGTTTATATAATAATTAAAATAGTGCAAAGGATAAAATGAACCTTATCGGCTCCTTCTAGAAGATCGGCATCGTTTGGAATTGAAGCTGTCATAATTCGTTTATTATATTAGAAATTTCCTTATTGTTTTTCTCCAAAAAAACTATCACATCAAATCCATTATTGATGAAGAGCCATTTTTTCTTCAAAATTTATTGTTAATTTGGGATAAGAAATATCACTTAACACCTAAATATAACAATTTCTCAATAATAATAATAATAAGATATATATTTACAATAATATTCGATAACGAAAGAATTAATAGAAAAAAAAGGCTTTTTTCGAATTTCTAACAATTTTTGAAAAGTTTTTTTAAATATTCCATAAAGAAGAGTTTATTTCGAAATTGGAGATGGAAATGGATTGAGAAATTTTTTACAGTAAGAAAAGATTATTTAAAACATATTTGAAATGAAATGAAATGAAATAAAATGATTCATCCATCACATGACAGCCAAAATAAAAGCGTAGTTGGAACGGTGACGAGAAATTGAAGGAAAGAGAGAAAATACGCTTCACTCCAACAGCGCAATATTTATGTATCGATTAGATGAGTAACTCTGTTGTTATTTTATAAAATTAAAGCTAAAGCAGATGTGCTGATGGATAGCTTCAGCATTCTTCCGTTTCACAAACCTATGATTTTAATTAGACATTTAACAAATTCATTTCAACACTCTTTCAATTCCTAAATACTGAGAATTGATAGATTTCCGAATAATATTTAACAAATTAACTCAAATGAAAATTTGATTAGGTTAAGATTGAATTAGTTGATGTATGAGAAATATATCGGAAATTTTACATAATTAAAGGATGATGTTGAAATAGAAAAGAGAATATGTATAATTTATTTAGCTATGCAGAAATTTGTTAGGCTGTACGTGTAACCGTAATTTTTAATGAAGTGCTTTGTAAAAAATTTTTGTTGTATTATGAGCAATGGACATTTTCATTTATGATTGCAAATGCATTATATTTTACTTTTTCAACACATGATATCATGTACTCACTTTTCAATACATGAAACGTGAGTACGTGAACTCACGTTTCAATATATAATGTTTTCTTCACTTATTTTATTTTTTAATATCTATGCTACTCTTTATGTTTTTCCCTTGCTAAAGTTTACTCATATATTGAAACGTGAGTACATGATATTATGTATTGAAACGTGAGAATATGATATATTATGTATTGGAACGTGAGTATATGATATATTATGTATTGAAACGTGAGTATATGATATATTATGTATTGAAACGTGAGTATATGATGTATTATGTATTGAAACGTGAGTATATGATATATTATGTATTGAAACGTGAGTATATGATGTATTATGTATTGAAACATGAGTATATGATATTATGTATTGAAACGTGAGTATATGATATTATGTATTGAAACCTGAGCATATGATATTATGTGTTGAAACGTGAGTATATGATATTATGTATTGAAACATGAGTATATGATATTTGAAAAAGTGAATATGTTAAATGTAATTCATTTGCAAATATAAATGATAATAAAATATTTTGGACATGGTCAAGTTATCGGAAAATCTCGTGGCATTACATAGGAAAGCATTGCAGTGAGATAATAATATCCTGACAGTTGTTTCCGATTATTGCATAAGGTCAAAGCTTGTAATGACTAATTTATTTCGTTGATGAAATGGCGAACAGATAGGAATAAACCAAAAATTAATTATATCTAAAAGGAAATATGCAAAAGAGAAAATATTTTACTTTTAGTTTTTTAAATTTATTTTTCCTTCTCCTTCTTTAATGTATGTATTACGGTCAGAAGTGTTTTTATGACATTTTTAATTGCTTTGTTCCTTTTAAATTTTGTTTGTTAATTAGTGTAAAGTAATCAAAGATTTTGATAAAATTATTGAATTAAGTTTTGAAATTTATTTAAAATTCATTAAGTGAATTCATTCGAAGAACAAAAAATATTCACTAAGGATATTATTCTAAATTTAAATTTACGTGAAATTAAAATTTCGACAATGCAGTAAGTAGCAAATAAATAACATTCTGTTTAAATGCGCCTAAATGAATAGATTAAGAATGTTTAAGATAAACATGTTATTATTTAGTTGCTATTAATTTGAAATTACAATTTTTTCATAGGTTTTAATTGGGAATTTTTGATTGAGAAATAAACAATAAAGGTAGGCTGGCGAAAAATAAAACCTATTCATTTGATATCTATCGAATTGTTACATATTTCATCCATATGGTAGCTCTCTTCTCTTTCTTTTAAAGAAATTATAGAAATTCAATTATTAGCATCATACATCATATCACGCAGTGATTCAGTTCTTTAGGATAATGATGACAACAATATTCCACTTTATCCCTGTCCATTGGGGAATTCGGAATGAAGAAAAGAAAGTTCATAGTACCTTAAAAATATTCAAATGTCCAATGATAGTATTATTCAATATTGCAATTTTATCAACACATTGATCGAATAAATGAATTACAACGGCAATTTTACATGTATTATATTTTGTTGAAGATTTAAAAAAATCTTCCAAGTACGAAAGGAAAGCATCTATGATTATGAAAAGAACTAACCTCTTGAGTTCCTTCTAGAATTTCAATTTCAGGAGTATATCCCATTACTGATTGATTACCGAACTTTAAAAATGAAATAACTAGTTGCAACTGTTGAAATCTGAAAATGGCAATGTATAATTTTTGCTTCATATTTATCAGCAAAAAAAGAATTGTTAAAATCGCAATCGAGGAATTTCCTTGTTTTCTTTATGAACATTAATATTATCAATTCTGAATTCCAAGATATTCAGAGGAAATTTCGACATATTTCTTCTCTTAGAAGCGCATTTATATAAATTAAAAGAGAGAAGTTAGAAAATCTTTTTTCGCTTGATCACACTATTGTAGATTACTTGGGAACAGATACATTCTTTTAATCGAAATTTATTAAATGTTTATACTTTCCTAAATTTTCAACAAAATATTTTGCTCACTGACTCCTTTCATCACCAACAATAAATTGAGGTCCATAATGGATTAGGAAGCTTTTAAAAGAATTTAATGTGAAATTGGTGATTGAATTGAAATTGTTATTCGAGAAAAATATACTTTACAATTAAATAAAATCACAACAAATGTCAAAAAAATGAGAAGAAACGAATGAAATGTATAGAATGAGAAAATTTTATTATTGTATAAAATTTCATAGCTAATTAAGTTCATTTTACTCCAAAATTAATCAAAATAGAATGAATTAATTGCTAATAACACAAACATGAAATTATGGGAAAAATATGATAAAACCAATTTTCTTATACATTTCCTACATCTATGATATATTATCGTATCGTTTTGATCACTTATAATCAGATCTATGATTGTATCTTTTTGATCATATTCTCGCTCATTAAAACTTTGCATAGTTTCAATTCAACCTTTGCATTTTCAAAAATTTTTTCCAAAGAAAGATTAGAATTTTAAACAATAAAATATTTGATAAGAGACTATCCAATAATAATTCTTATTATTAACTAATAAAATAGTTAATAATAAGAAACTATTCGATTTTGAAATTTCGGGTATGCACAAAATTTTTACAATAGAATGAATAAATGGATTGAGATATTTTCATTCCTAACAGTTCGAAACTTCGAGAATTAAGGCCAATATATCTTAGGCTATATATATATATATATAGCCAATATATCGACAGTATAGATTAAAAAATATTGAATGAAAATCCTTTGACCCAAATGCTTCCAATTTTAAAAATGAAATTGATGGAATTACTGCTTTTTTTCTTTGACTAAGCAAATAAGATTTTTTATTCAGTCAGTCCTCTGAGAATTACAATGCCTATCACATCGACATTACTGAATAACTTTACGTTATTTTGCATTTAAATATATTTGTGATGTGTAACTTTGGAAAGTTTTTTCTACCATAAAAAATGAGAACTTGACGAGAAGGTGTTCAGTAAATTTCAATAAGTTTACGGGAAAGGTTTTATGAAACACTATAAAATATGCCTCATTAGTTGCATTCATCTATTTAATTATAACTAATAATTTAGCAGATAAAATTGACGAAAAAAGTGTGCTAATTAGAATTTAGAAGTATTAAACAATTTTTTGGGTTTCAGTAAAAGTAAGTGATGGAGGAGAATTTGATAAAATGATAAAAGCTATCAACCGTGTAACTCAAATATCTTCGAAAATGTTGAAATAATTGAGTGAAATGATTTCATCATTCTCGAAGATATTTGTGTTACAGATCTGATAGCTTTTATCGTTTTATCAAAGTATGCATTGGTGGTGAAATTTAATAATTTATAATTGTCGAATAAAATTCAAAAAAGATGAAAAAGAGTAATGAAATTATTTTGAAAGTTAATACTTTAAAATGGAATGTAACCCATTGTAGTGTTTTCCATTTGTTTTAAAATAAACAAGAGAGCTGGCTAGAAAGATGTAAAAGAAAATATAAGCTAAAATTTAAAATGTGGAACTGTGAGAAATAGCTCAGTAAATTTTAAATTTAACCTTAAGAGATTGACTAGAACAATTGATACTAAGGAAATAAATGAGAGCTATGGCGTAGAGCGTTGAGATATATATCATGTGGCTTTTGATAACTTCTTAATATTCGTTAGATAATCTAAATTTAAGAATGATGAATATGATACGATAGATTAGCGTGACAAATATTAAAGAGATATGCATTCGAAAGAAATTGGCACTATGATAAATTTCTAATGCATGATTTTTAATTAAAAATGTTATCAACAAAGATAATTGATAAATGCAAATAAGATAAAATTTAGAATATTTCCAATGCGTATTTAAATTTTAATCCATAAATAAGCCAAAATATTCAAAATTCTTCTACTGATAAAGTTCGATTCAATTAAAATCAAATAATTATAAATTTAACAATTATATTCATAGAAAATAAATTAATGATTTGTTTTATTTTATTATTAAAAAAAAAGAAAGTTTTAGAACTTTTTTCATATGCCTCACTTTTTGCTATTTACTCACTAACTTTTTCCTTACATATAAATTTCACTTTTATTTGTTATTAATATTCTTATGAAGAAGGAAACAAAGGCATTACTCATTAACATTAATATATTAGATGATTTAATATGAACTGAATTAAATTTAATCATATCAAATTAACTAATCTAATTTGACTGACAACTTATTGATTGATTAAAATCAAATGAAATATAAATGAAACAGTCCAAAAATTCATGCATTTAAAAAGAATGCTTTGCTCTCAAACTAATAGCGAAACTTCCTAGAATTCTCTTGAATTTTTTTTTGTACTTGAGGACTCATTAAATTAATTAGCAAATGATGAAAGAGGGAATAGAACGAGTGTTCATGTATTATTATCACTCTCTATTCCTATAAATCATTCATCCTAATCCATATGCATAAATTTATTGCTTTTCTTTATCGATACTGTCCATGCAAACTTTGTGATTGTGTAGCTTCCTTCATTACACCTTACAGTTTTTCACAATATCAGTTGAGAAAAATGATTGCGATTACAAATTATAATTATTGAAGAATACTAAATTAGTTAAAGTTGAACTATTCAAGAAGTTTTTTTTTAAATCTACTTGAAATTCAAAACTGTTCATTTGTTTTAAAATTGTACAAATTTAATCCTTTGAATATTTTATTCAGATTTCATAATGCTTCAATCATATCATATATGTATAATCAATATCGTTTAAAAAAATCGTACAAAGACAGTTATTTTGAAAAAAAATTTTAGATTTTTAGATTTTTAAAAATTTTAGATTTTTTTTATTTATTTTATTTACAAAAATGATTTATTCAAATGAATTTTAATGAGTGCTAAAATAAAGAAATAATATTGTAAAAATATGAAAATGTTCAAAAGATGAACCAACAAATCCAATTCAATATAAATTACTGACCTTTAATGTGAATAGAATTTTAAGTGCATGAGGAAATTTAATTTTCAGATGTTTATTGTGATGTATATAGGAGGCCTACAAAAATGTCGCTGAGGAAGTAACAAAAGAGTCAATTTCGAGTGAGGAAAATTCAATTAAAAACTATGTCAAGTATATTATTACATTTATTTGTAAGAGGAAGAACAGATAGATCACAAAATACTTTCTTATGATGTATCTCAAATTATGTAGCAGATCAAAATTTGCGTTCGAGGACCGTGTTATTTTCATGTCACCCTGAAGTATTGGTTGTGTGTGCTAGATGTATTACGGGAGGAGGTTTGGTTTAACTTGGCGACTTGATTGTCGTTAGTTTTTGATTATTCAAGTAAGGTTATTCAGGTCGAGAGGAGATTCTTTAATTTTTTTTCAGTCCTACTCCATCAAAGGCTGCTGTTAAACTTCCTGAAATTTGTTGCAAAATACTCCTTTGGAGCAGTCGGCCATTAGCCTCCTGAGGTCGAAAAATTAGATGCTTAACCTCATATTTCAATTTATGGTCATTAAATTGACTATAGAGTTATGTCTTCATGAACTAGCCACGCAATTAAAATTATCGTCGAACATTATTTATTGTATTAATCACGCCTCGTATTTAAATCATCCAGTTCGAGTTTTATTTATTACAAAAAAAATGTAGAATGTGTTGTTTAAACTATCTGTAGGCTAAATGCACCATATCACTTTTAGTTTTCTCCATACACTTTTAATACGTTATGATATTTGTTTGTGTTCCGTGTGTTTCATGTATTTCAAGAATGGTTAGTTTTAGATATAATATAGTCGAAATCAATCGAAGAACTTGTTAGCTTTTGCGGAACGTATCTTGAAATAAAGCTCATAATATTTAATATTCTATTATTGATCATCAGCGGGCCCTTACTGTTTTGGAGAAACTTCTAAAAACTAGTTATTGTTTCTGTTTTTTGATTTCAGGTTTTTGAGCGATGTTAGGAAATTGTATGTCAATACCACAAATGTCAATAATTGCAGACATTCGGTATTAATTACATATTAGCTGTGATGTCATCAAACCATTCAGAAGGTTCCACTTAACACAGTATTTGTTTGAGTCACTCGAATCTAAATGCATTGAACTTGGTATTATTAGAAGGTATCGCGCAAAGAAAGCACAAAAATTTGATTTTAGCGATCTTATTTCGCTCAATAGAAGGATTCAAATTAGTTAGCTAGAAGCTAGAAGTCTGGAACATATTTTTCGTCATGATTCAACTTTTCGGGCTGTTTTTTTCCATATTTGAATTTCTTGTGGATAATTTGAATAGGCGAAATCTATTTTCATGAGCTTCTTTCAAAAATTTAAAAATTTGCAAAGTGGCTTCAAATTTTCAGTTTTTCTATTTATGCTTTTTTTGATCTATGATCAGAATTTTGTACTGCAATTGAAAGAATGTACTGCTTAGTGTTTCAAAAGCTTGTTGATTAATATTAACTGGCAAACGGTTTTAGATTATGTTTGTGATGTTCATATGGACATCAGTCACCATTTTTTTCCGCTTCCAAGCGTAGTGATTCCGAATATCATGATTAAACGACCATTTGTGACAGAGGTAATTTAGTATCTCATGAATTTACTGATTAGTAGTGTTTTGAATTTTATGTAATATATAGTATTTCGATATTTTTCAAAAATATCCTTATTCTAAACTTTTTGTAAGATTTCAGTACAATTTCGAGAGCGAGAGAAAAGCAATTGCCGATTACGAGAAGAATAAAGCTGACTTAGCAATCAAAGTGAAAGAAATGAAAATTAAGAATGTAGCCCCTGAAGGACAATCGGGCATTATGCTTGAGAGAATCCCAGGTGTAGTCTCCCAGTTACATAGTCAAAAAATTCATTCAGGTGTTGTACTGGAACCAAGTCGTGTTATAGCTACAACTTCTCAACAGGTTAGAATATTCATCAAATTTCATTTATTTTTTGATTTAGTGACCCAGACTTGGAATTTCTGAAATACGTCCATGTTTGTCAGTATTTTATGCGCAAAATCATGGTTTTTCATTGCAGCAAAATACGAAGCCGGTGAAACCAGCATTGAATGCCTTCGAGGAATTTGAATTGAAACCGAATCTTTTTGATCTCCTGGAATTAAGTACTATAGATGATAAAGCTGCCCTTGAACAAATACTTGCCAATGCGCCGCCACCGCTATCCGCGAGCGTTGTCGGAAGTAGCGCTCAATCTTCCTCAGGGTTACTGTCTTCATCATCGGTTTCAAATATGGTCTGTTATAGCTTCTTTTATTTGTGTTGCCTTGCATTAAAAAATATTGAAGTTTATCTTATCAATGTGTTTACCCAGCAAATGATTCTTCTGCTGTGATTTTAAGGATCTATGGACCTGATTTATTAAAATGCTCGTTATGCTCTCTCTTTTTCTCCTTTCTCGACCCTAATAAATTATTGGTTTTAATATTTTGGATTTCGCAATCCGGAAATTTTCCTAATTTGTGCAGTTTCAGGGTATGAAGGTATCAGAAACTGGTGATACCCACGATTTGCATAATTTGTCGACTACTCTCAAAAGTTACAACAGTTCATTTGGTATCGGCGTTCCTAGTGCTTCTTTCGGGCAAAATTTATAAAGTCTTCTTTGGGTGGCTAAATTCGGATAATCTTAAAAGCTTGTTCCAGTTGTTTGTAGTGCTAAAGAAAAAGAAAGATTTATTCATCCATCGGGATGAAATTCAACATCATCTATAGAGCACGTTCTTTTTATCTTCAACTCTAGAAATAGTTTTGGAAGTGATTTTATCCATTAATCAAATGACTTCAACTTGTCTTAAATTTGCTAATATTGCAACTGTGACGAAGAAATAGACTGGAATTAACCCATGATATTTCTAGCAGTTTATTTCGGATCACGGATGTCTAATTTGGGTGTAAATATTAACTGCAGTTGCTCAGAATTCGGAGTTCATTCTATTGTTTTTCGTGATCACAAATTTTCAGATGTATCTGTTATCGACTTGTAATATTTCGAAATTTGTAGCTATTCAAGTATATGTGTAACTTCTGCTTGAAAGTAAGTGGAATGTATTATACTGGCCTTTATGTACTTGTTGGTTTTCTTATCAGATTCGACATAGCCTTATGTCAACCGTTCTTCCTGAATTGCTGACAAATGAAACATTCTAATGTACTATATTTGTAACTGTTGCTAGTGTATTTGTTTTTCTCACTAAATTTTGCATTTACTTCAGTTGGTTCAACTGCTTTGTCCTAGGAAGTGAAAGCGAGATAAAATTTCATTCACCGTTTGCCAATGAACGAAGACCATTTTTGAATTTGTAAACTGTTGTGTCCTTTCGCAAGCACAGTACTTTTCAAATTTCCGTTAGAATAATTTGAAATACGTAATGAAAAGAGGATCGATGATGCTATTTTTTGTTTTTTTCTGTTTTTCGTCTAAAAGGAAACACATCAGCTTTCTAAGCGGTAGTGATTTTCAATTTAAGATTCATCATGTGACTTAGCCCGATATACTTCGAGGTAATCCTCCCTTACTTTCATGTGTTATCTTGACATAGCGGACAATATTCCCCCATCTTAGGATTCTTCCATGTGTCAGTAATATTGTGTACTTGGTGTCTCAATATCCCAGAAAGTTTGTAATGGTGAAATCAAATCTTCGAGATCCCGCGAATTCAGTTGATGTTGACCAGTTTCTACAAGGAAAATTCTCAGGGGATTTATTAGACAAATTGATGAAATTTTCGCTGAAATTATGAATCAAGATTTCACAGTTTTTTTTAATGCACAGAAAATTGTGGAAGAATCTCGCTTAAATGAAGCAAAAACTTTCCTTTTCCTCGAAAACTTCATTCTCGTCTTATTCTACTGCAATCATTCAAGGCATCACATATGTAAATTAATGATTGATGAAACTATGAAATTTCTTCGGGTATTCGACGATTCATCATCATATATTTTAATTCATCGATCAGGGGTCTTTTTCTTCCCAGAACAAGAAATTTGCAAGTTTCGTTTTTCGGAATTATAGATTCATTTTAATCGGAAAACATGCAAAAAATTGAATGCATTCCATCATTTGGTCATTCAAAACATTTCCATCTATTTATTTCCGCAATAACATCTCATTTACTTATTTCATCTTTCGCAAAAATGACCAGGTGATGGATTAATACTTACAGTAAATACAAAACGAAGGAATATAATATGGAGTAGTCTGTGCTGCGTACGGTATATGCAATACATGGTTAATAAATTTAATTACGCTATGGATAAGTAACATTTCATCTTTTCTTCAATGTCGTCTGTCACTTTCTTTAACCAAAATAAGCATTGGAGTAGCAGTGGTCAGTGGTTAGATTGAGTAAGCAGAGAAAGAGAAGGATGGATGAATGAATGAGTGAATAGATGAGGTGGTTGATGACTTTATCTCATATTGTCATTATTGATTTTTATATCAGATGGCGGTTCGTATAGACTGGTGACAATGATGTCTTTCGAGGTCCTTTTTGTTAATATACTTCTTTTTGCCGTTCGATTTCTGGAGACATTCGCGCTATCAACTATATTTCCAGGTAAGATTGCAGAATTTGATTGTAAGGGAGAGCTTGTTTGTGTCGTATTAAAAAATCAGTCCCTAATATCATTTGGAGTATATTGCTATATTTTATTATAAAATTGGAAATCATTGTGAGCGCTATTTGATCTTGTCGTTAATTAACTGCTATTGTATAAATTAAGTTTTCAGGATTAGTTAAACTTAATTTTCAGAAAATGTCTTTACGGTTGGACGATTAGCGTACAGGCGACTACTGCTAGACCCCCAATCTGCATCCCTTTATGTGGGTGCGAATGGTCATTTATTTCGGTTGTGGGCGTACAATATCAATGCAACTGCGTCTACCGATGGCCTGGTGCTTTATAATTTCATTTCACAGTATAATTTTCAAGTTTTATACAATTCTTGTCATTTAATTGCTTTTGGAGCTCTAATCTGTAAAATTGGTTTTTTATGAGAGGTCTTGCACTACCGGAGGATATGTTATAAAGAGTTTATTCCCATTCTAAAATAAGGAGTTAAAGTTGCTATACAAATTGGTGGCAATGCTAAAAATGATTTTGCATAGGCTTCTAGAAATAATTTTGGCACTTATTTTCCATGATAAAATTATATTCTGCTGGCAGTTGAATGTGTTTCTATTATAACTTCAGTATGCTCACACAGAGCTTCCGGTTTCCCGATCCGATGCAGAAGAGTGTCATCGCGCTGGCCACGCGGAATGTATCAATGGAGTACGACTTATGTTCTTGAAAGAAGGTCATCAGACGTTATTGGTTTGCTCTTCGAATGCTATGAAGCCGCAACTACGAGAATTGGATGCGCTGTCGCTACAGGAACTTTCTTCTCCCGAAAATGTTATCGGTGTCTGTTCAGCTCACGTGGATCTCAATACAACAGCGGTACTTGTCGGTGAATTAAAATCTTTTTCTAAACCCATTTTATCAAATGTTATCAGTCAATAGTTTTGTATTGTGTCTATAATCATCATAATGTTTGGTAATATTTGTCATAAGAAAACTGATAAATTTATTGCACAAATTGATAAGTTTATAGAATGGGGCAATCCGGATGATATACCTGCCATTTATTCTGGTATCAGGACAGGTCTTACTCTCGACAATAACCTTATTTATCGGCCTCCGCTAGTCAAAAACAACAAAGAAGTGTATTCCTCAATGCGAACCATTTATACAGATTCGAAATGGTTGTATGGTAAATTAATACAAATGTAAAACCACAAGAGATTTCTCATAAGGAATAAGGATGATGTGCATTAAATGATACAAGTAAAGATACAAAGATAAGAAAAAACCGCAGTATGATTATACCTGCATCTTGGTAGCATTCAAGATGCCAAAAACGTTTTTCTAATGTTATATATATATAATTATTTAATTTGCTTAAATCTTATATAATCTGTGATTTAGAACCGGACTTTGTGGCATCATTTAATATTGACAAGTATGTCTACTTCTTTTTCCGTGAACTGGCGATTGAGCGTGAGAAATGTGAGCGTATCGTGTTCTCTAGAGTTGCTCGTATTTGTAAAGTAAGTGCTATTTTTGTTTTTTGAATTTGGTTATTTGTTTTTCATAATTGTGGATCCTCTGTCTGATAGCTATTCCAATAATTGTCATTTTCGTCTTATAACTTTCACTTCACCGTGTGCTTCTTAAATGATTATAACTTCAGCTTGTTGAAGCTATTTGCCCACTATCGTAAATTTTGTGTCGAGCAGCTTTTCGATTAGTTTGTAAATAATCAAACGATATATTACGCAAATTGTAGGAAGACATTGGTGGGAAAAACGTTTTGCGACAAGTTTGGACTACTTTTGTCAAGGCTCGTCTGAACTGCTCAGCTTCTTCAAAATTTCCCGTTTATTTCAATGAATTGCGTATGTTTAGTTTATGCCTTTGAGAATTTACATGTCTTCAGTAAATTAAAGGTTTTGTTTTGTATTGGCAATTTTTTTGTTGGCATGTTGAAACTGCTAAGAAAGATTTTTGTAGTTATTAATCATTCATGTTGATTATTCCATTGTAAAATATGGTTTTGGTACTGATTTACCCTTTCATTAATTTTTGTGCCACGTTTTTAATTTCAGAATCATTGCAAATGATGGATGATAGATCTGACAGCTTATTCTACGCTACTTTTACAACACCTGAAATCTCCTCTGGCGGTAGTGCTGTTTGCGTATTTTCGTTAAACAGTATCAATCAGGTATTTTATAAATATTTTTTTGTGGCCGAATGAATTTGATGTGTTGGATAAAATTGAAATGAATCAGTAGCTGACTAAGTTGCTTAGTCATTAAGCAATTCATTGGACTCGTCTGCTGCAAAATTTATACTTAGACTTGACCCTCCCAAAGCCAATGGTTTATTGAAATAATGTATCTGCATGTGTATTTACCATTTTTATTCCAATAATATTTCTTTTTGTTTACAGTTGTTTGAATATGGAAATTTTTTGGAGCAAACTTCATCTGATAGTGGATGGATCACTACACCATCCAAAAATGTACCTGAGTATCGTCCTGGAACGGTGAATTTTCTTACCCAGTTGATTCATGTCCTAATTTTTTTATTTCCATTAGATTCATGCTTTTTTGCAAAATAGTTTGGATTTCCTCTTATTTTAGTGCACAAATAATTCACCTTCCATTCCGGACAGTAGTTTACATTTTGCGCGATCTCATTTACTAATGAAAGATGCTGTATCAGCTGATTTTCCTCTGCTAATATTGCATGGTGAACTGCTGACGCATATTGCTGTGGACGCAATGGAAAATGTCAACGTTATTTTCGTTTATTCTCACAGGTTAGTTTTAAATAATTTTCAAAATAATTCTATCATCTGAAAATTTTAACTGATCAACATGTATCAGTTTATTCGAATTTTCCATCAATATCTGCCCGAATGACACCGTTAAGATGTTCAGATCACATTTCCATAGAAATATTGGAAATTTCAGCAAAAAATTGAGCTTTAGTCAGTATATGTTGTCTTTCAGTTCCCAAAGACTTCATAAAATAGCACATTGGTTTGGAGAAGCAGATAAACATTCAAAATTGTTAGCTACATATGCGTTGAAAAATACTGGAGCTATTTTCGCTATGACACTGCTGCCCGGCGAATTTGTCTATTTATCGGGTGAAGATAACGTCGCCCAGTACTTCCTGGCTCAATGTTCGCTTTACATTACGTGTGCGCAATGTGCTGTTGATCCCTACTGTTCATGGAATACTGCTCGTGGATTATGTTATAAACGTGAACAAGCTCACCTGTCGGCTGATGGGTAAATGATTTTGTCGATCATTTTCTATCAATTTTCCGTTCGACTTGGAAGGCCATTATACTTTTTTTTTAATTTGTGCTTATGCACAATACTAAACTAACTTCCGAAATATGTATCTCGCCGAAGACAATATCTTACTAATGGGTTTAGTTTTAAATAAAATTCACTAATAGAAGATGTTTCCATCATTTCTTCACTTATGCTGCGTAAAGGAAGTTATGTTTTTAAAGATAACTTTCTTTATGCAACAGAAATGGTTTTCTTTTCTACAAATTTGTAAGTTATTTAAATTTTAGATGGATCAGTTCTAATTCAAAAGATGTTGACAAATGTCTAGGGCATATAAAACGGATGACGACTAATGTATATACTGGTGATACATTGCATCTCACATGTGTGGCGGAGTCAATGTGGACTTTCAATAGTGAATCAGTTTCACCATCTGCAAAAAGACAATTAACAACCGAAGGAGGACTTGTTGTTTTTAATGCAAGTGTTACTTAAATTGCAAACAGTTCCCTCCTTTCAAATTTAAATATTAGTTTTTAAAAATATTTTGTTTTGTTCTTTTTGAATTGATCGTTTGTCTCTCAGTATTTATGCAAAACATCTTATCTTATTTTTTAGGTTTCTGGGACAGACAGCGGTACTTATGAATGCAGTATAGATAAAAAAGCCATTATGATATACGAAATTACGGTCGATGATGGTTAGCACTCTTTTATCATTGCAGCCGAGACCGGTCGGACATTGTTGATACAGTAGTCGCTGTTTTTGATTTAACTGTATACTTTAATAATATTTTTGTGATTCTTTATTGTAGCCGAATGCGCACAGCCGACTAGTATAGCTCAGTTCAAATCAAAGTATCGAGAATGGTGTCAGAAATTTGCCAAGTATAAGCATTCTGCTGAAAAATGGCAGCTTTGGTATGACAAAAATGTAAGGATTTCTTAATTTAAAGAATAATTTGGCATTGTTAGGTTAGTTATGGATTAAATTAAGAGCAAGATGCTATATATTATGAGTGCTAGTACGTCAATGGACTGAAGCAAATCGATTTTTTTATGGGTCCAGTTTCATGTTTGATCGTCCAACAGTGAATAACTTTCGTATCAATTTTTAAAATCATTTGGTCTTATTAATCTAAAGCGATAAATGTGAAATATGATTGTTCTGTAATCCAGATTCTATTATTTTGAAGAAGTTGTAAAAGAAGCTAATTATGAATCCCAAAGTAAATTTCAACTTTATATGAGAAGTTAATTCTAGGCAGCGAACTGTCCCAGGCAAAGGTTCACCGATTTTAATCACATTATTATTGAATAATCTTAACTGGATAGAGCAGTGTACTTCTAAAGGTCAGTTTTTGTATGCTTATATCTTTATCATCCCACTGATATTTGTGATCTCCAGAGGGACATCATGAAAGTTTGGAATTTTCCGTTTTAATTGAAATTTCAAAACTGTAGAAAGGACACCTTGTTTTGATTAAGTTCAACACTCGGTTTTTTTGTGCTTCCTCCCAATGAAAAAGTAATTAATTGTTTAAAGCGTTAAAGCATAGTAAATTTACTTTTGTAATTGTTTTTTATCCATCACAAGCGTATATATTGTTGTCGTTGTAATATTTGTTAGCCGTAATATTCTTTTTATTTTGTTAATTTCTATGTCAGATTTTTATAGTGCGAGCGTTAAACCAGCGGGTGTATTAAAAAATAAATAGCTGAATCGTTGGCTTCACAATCCCCTTCTTGAGGGTGGATACTTGGCCTCATCCAGATATTTTTGCACTGCCTATAGGAAATGCTCTGCATAATATCCTAATATTTTTGATATTTTAGTACAGTTTTTTGCTTTGGAATAATTTGAGTAAATTCAGTCTTCATGTATTAAATTGATAAAATTTATCGGCAGAGAATAACTAGACTAGTTAAAAGCAACTAAATATGAAAAATATGAAACAACTAGGGTTAAGTGTTACTGGAGAGCTTAGATGAAATGATTATCCTGTTTGATATTTTGTACTATGATATATTTTTTACGCGTACATAGGTGAATATTGGAAAATAGCTTTCTTAAGTACCGTACAAATTCGACAGCTTGAACAGGTTTGATTATTCAAACGGTATTTTCCCAAAAGCTAATGCAATTGTTCATTTACTGTTGATGAAGCACCTAACTAAAGTTAGTCAAATATCTTTTTGATTTATGCAAGCTTGTGAAGATATAAGTTTAACAGGCGAAGCAGTTTTCATTTTCGCCTGAATTATCAGTGGTAGAAAGTCGAAAGATTCATCCATCAGCGGAAACATTTTGATACAGCATGTTTATACGACTGATACTTGTAAAAATCTGTCATGTTTTACACGGTACTCACGATCTATAATCTATGATAAGTGATTTATGTAATTTGAATTCTGGATAAAAACGTGTTTGGTAGAAGAAATTTTTAAATTATTGATTATTGGTTTTAAAAAAATTTGAAGTATTGATTAGTAATAAGGGATATGATGCAGAATTTCAAATTTTTTTTCGGAATTATTAGTCGATATAATAGTGGACATTATTACAAAATATTTTATTCAGAGATTATTTAAAATTATATATATAATGACTTGATTTGCAGTAATAACACTTTGCGGTGTTGCATGCAATTAGATACAATGGCGTTATGTCATTTGAGCTTAGTTCAATTTGTCTTAATCAGTTTCATTTCATATTTGATATTGATAACGCTGTATTTGGCTCATTTTGATTAAATGACACAAATTTTTTGAAAGATATATGAAAAGATTAGAAGGATTTTGCATTCAATTGTTGCAGTTAATTGGTGCTTTTATGGATGTATAAAAATTGTGAATTTCCAGGTGGTTTATGACGCTTGATCTTAGCATTGTCAGGATCCTTAATGATTTTACTCAATTAGGAGTTCTTTTATTATGCAAATCTATGTTTTTCAGTCACTTCGTTAGAATTTACAACTAAAATTATCAAATCAGATGGCCGACGGGGAATTGAAAAATAGGAATACAAGCGGTTTAGCGATATTCTAGAGATATCGATTCTTACTTAAATGTTGAAATTATAAGCATTTATAAAATATATAGCATTGGGATAACAGATAATTTCTACAAACTGTAAAATTTCATTTTTCGCATCAGCTTTTACAAGAAATCCTACGAGTATGTTGTGAAAATGTAAGTGATATGTAAGTAAGTGATGGAAGTGATATAGTAGTACTTTTGTCTAGTGGAGGTGTCTAGGGATGGAATTCACAATATAATTAAATGCATAAGTTTTAAGATATAAATATATCATCCGAATATGATTTGTTTATTATTTCTATGAAAGAAATAATTTTTTTCTTTAAACTAGCAAAAATTAGACTATAATCTCGGCATTACTATACAATCAGGATATTATTATTGATGGTTTTGACTTTATCGAGGAACAAAAACATTATCATCACGGAGTCTTATCAACATTTTAGCACTCTTTCGATATCACTTAAGCGATAACTTGTTATCACAAATTCATTTATAGGAGAAGGTACAGCTTATTCAATGCTATGGAAGTGATATAGTAGTACTTTTGTCTAGTGGAGGTGTCTAGGGATGGAATTCACAATATAATTAAATGCATAAGTTTTAAGATATAAATATATCATCCGAATATGATTTGTTTATTATTATTATTTATTATTCACTCATATCCATCATCATGGACAAATGTCCGCTCGCGATTTATGACATTGTTGACAACTCAATCGACAATTTTCATCCATCCAAAGCTGATTTTTATGGCACTCATCTTGAGCAGCCCATATCGGACAAAGTAAGTGTCGATCAGAACATTCTATAATTAAACGTTCATTTTATTTACTCTTTCTTAATCAAAACGACAACAATGAAATTTGAATTCAAATTCTTGAAATGAGTGATATGAAAAAGTTAATGAATGCAACATTACAGTGGATGACATATTAGTGGGAGAAAGCAGTAGAAGGGAAATAAGAAATTGAGAACAAAAACGATAGTTGATATTATGAAAATTGAAATAATGAATCGTTTCAATGATGAAGAAATTGCAAGATATGACTCAATACAAATATTTTAAAATGAGTAACAATAACCAAAGTGAATGAAGCGCGTTACAAACGTGAAAAGAAATGCAACTTTTTGGAAAAAAATCCATAACAAAGAAGTTGCTTGAACTAAAAGAATAGAGAAGGAAATGGAAGAGAAGGAAGTAGATAAGAGACTTAGACAATGTCATTGGAATCAGATGACAGAGAATTTAGCTTAAATTTAATATGACAGAAAAGTTTGATAGCTTTCTGTAAACAATTCTCCTAAATGATTAAATGGAGAGTGAGATGGTAAGTAGTAGCGATTGTAAAAGACGAAAGTAAACGTTTGCCACAATTTGCTTAAGTGAGAAAAAATTTAATGGCTATCTCTAATCTCAAAACCTACGACAAAGGAAAAAGATTGTACAATAAACACGGATTGAAACAATTGGGATTTCTTATTAATTTCTCAATCTTTTATGATGTTATCATCTTTTAGAATTTTAGCAATCAGAGCTATTTCATAAATCGCAATAGTATTATTCAAACTGTTAATCTTCAATTATTTCAGTCTGCGTTTGTCGTACAATTTTTACTGATAAGCTATTAAAGGTATTTAACAGATAAATATGGCCAAAAAAAACTTACCAAAATCAATATTATACTGTGGGATACACTTATGACAGGACACAGGACACCAATCAAGCATCATTTTTTCATTTGTTCTACATTCACCTCTATTGGCCCAAACTGAACAACATTCATGACCATTATAGCATTGCTCCTGAAATGAGAGAATTAGCTGTATCACTGATAAGAATCCTTTAATTAATTAATCATTTGATAAAAGTATTTCCCGTTCAATTACAATATATCAACGAATTTGAGATCAGTAGGAATTTCTAGCCTCAATTCTTTCTATTTTTAAATAAAAAAAAGTTCATCTTTCTTATGCGTGAAAGTTTTCCACTTCAAAATTAAAAGAACTTGTTCTATATCAATCAGGAAAATTACTGAACATTCCGATTACAAAAAAGGATGAATGAGCGGCATCATTGAGTAAATTTTGCTTTCATGATGAACCTTTTCAACATTTGTTATTGAGGTTGTTGTAATTAATGTTTCTGCGGGTTCTACAGTTATGCCTTCTACACTTCTCATTTGTTTCATATGATTTCGCTCTGTCTAAAATAAGAAAAGAAATGAAATTTATTTTAAAAAGAATATGGCAGGAGAAAGAATGAACGATAAAAAGGAAACCTCAACATTCTACAAAATTAGTTATCTAATTGAAACTGAAAGGAAAACATGAGTCATATTAAAAATGACCTCAGCCTATTCTCACTTTCTGTCAAATTCAAAAACTTGAAATTAAAAAAGTATTTCATCTTGTTTCTGGAGAACTGATGCGCTTTTAATACATCTTCCGGATAGGCAAAAACCATTGTGGCACGGATTCTCCCGATGTGTGTAACTGTCACAATTGCCACCCAGACGTATTTTTGTGGAACATCGAGCGTACCCATGTGATAAATCACAGAATAGGAATCTGAATCCACGTTTTACTGCTTCCATGCTCAGCTAAACTCTTATCTATTCATCAATTTGCTCGTTTATTCGTTATCGTAAACTTTTTTTTCCAAATTTCTAAACTTTTCAAATTTCATGATGATTTTATTGAGCATTTTTAATGTCAACAATATATGAAATCAAACAAATTGCAATTAATTTCATAAAAAGTTTGAAAACAATTTCTTATTAAGGTTACTAAAGTTAGTCTGAAAACGTTATGTTTAAGAATTGAAGATGAATCGAATTAGAGAAATCGAATTAGAGAGGAATTGATCACTCACTCGCTTCCACATTGCTCGTCTTGACCTCCATGACATACAGGTCGTTGCGCATATCGATACAATCTTTCATTGTAATTATTGCTTATTCCATCGATATTTCTCAATGGTTCAAACGGTCGCATGAGATTTTGCGCAAAATGATTTTCACTACTACATTCTGACAAATCCGGCGGATAGCTTTTCGATCTTGCATCTCGACTCTGCAAAATTGTGAAATGATATAATTTCTCATTGAAGATTTACAAATTATGCAAAGTCATTTCTGCATGAAGTATGGATAAAAAAATAAAAAAACTTAAGTTAAATGTAAGTTTAAGTTCAAATAATTTAAATACTTGTCGATGTTTTCTCCAATATTCCCAAATGCTATCTACAAAAGCATGATGAAGAAAGAATAATGGATCATTTGCAGAGGTTGTTTGATTAAACATATCACCGCCGACCCAAACAAGCGCATTTGCATGGCTATATTCGAGCGATGTCCAATCTGTTGGATATTTGCATCCCTGTGTTTTTTTTTAACTTACATTGTTAAATTTCTTAAAATTAATACATAACTAAAAAAAAAAAGATCTGTAACTGCACGTATGACATAAAGGTTAAAGTTCATTGAGTAAAATAACTACTTCAATGAAACTAATATCATTTAGCTAATTCCTAGTCATTTTAATACTATACACATATAGTAAACCCATATGCTGGTCTAAATTAGTATGCAGAAAGGAAATAAAATTTATTTTAAAATGAATTAAATTCACTAATTATAGTGATTGCAGTTAGTATGTGTAAAATCGAAGGGAACAAGAAAATTAACCGATTGAGGAGCGGTATATGCAAGTACACCGATTACATTCGAATGTTGCATCACTGATTGAATATCATTTTCGTTCAAAGGACGTCCTTCCTGTCTGGGCAATCGTCTTATATGTCGTCCCTGGAAATGAATTTACCTGTTCGTTTATATATATATATGTCATATATTGCCTTTGCTATAATTCTTCCAACAAACTGGAAAGGAAGATTAATATATTCCACACAAATGAACAATCCAGAAATACTGAGTAAAGAAAGACCACAAAATTTTTCATAAAACATTTTTT